AACTAGCCAGCCTTATAACCTGGAGTGAGTGACTATGTCAGGATTTAAAGCCAGCTGTGGGAGGGTCATCAATAAGCTGAACTACCAGCCTGCTTGTGAGTCTGGTGCCAGGGAGTACGTTAGACAAGAAAGGGACTCATACTTATTCCCCTGTGGGTGATGAGCTCTCTGGGTGCCGGACTCCATGACCCCTCTGACCCTCCTATAGTAATGAGCATTCTGGTGGCTTGGGTGGCATTTCTCCCTTCAGAGAGGCTCTTCCCTGAATCTGGAAGTGGCCTTGAATAGTTACTGTTGCCTGTTGGGTCTCTCAGAGGGAGGGACTTGGGACAGTTTATTTATTACACGATACAGGAAATTTACTGGAGACCAGAGGGTTCAACGGAAAACATTCTTGACTTCTTTTCAGTTGGAAACATTTATTTGAGAGATAAAATTGGACATTCAGTATTAGCCTTTTGAGTCATAACAGATCCCTAATCACAGAAGTCTCAATTTTTCAGGAGAGACGCACACACATCTGGGAAGTGCTGCTTCTATGTTTATAGTGTGGTCAATGCCACGGCCACTGACTGGTGCCCTGTCTGGGGATCTGTGACCCACGGCTACCCACACTTCAGCCTTGCTCTTAACCTTGCTTAAACCTTGGAAATACTCTCAGCTATGTACTGGGGAGGCTGAGAGGTCATAAAAAGTTACCTAAATCGGGGGGCGCCTGGGTGGCTTAGTCGGTTCAGCATCCGACTTTCGCTTAGGTCATGATCTCCCGGTTCGTGGGTTCAAGCCCCGTGTCGGGCTCTGTGCTGACTGCCAGCTCAGAGCCTGGAGCCTGTTTCAGTCTGTGTCTCCCTCTCTCTCTGACCCTCCCCTGCTCACGGTGTCTCTTTCTCTCTCCTAGAAACAAATAAAACATAAAAAAAAAATAAAAAAAAAACAAAAAACGTTACCTAAATCGGGGTTGGGAGTAGCAGCCTAGGGGTCAAGTCCGTGGATGCGTGGTATCAGACTAGCTGGATTTGAATCCCAGCTCCATCATTACTGGCCCTGTGAACCTGGCCATGTTTCCTCCCTTCTCTGTACCTCAGTTTCTATATCTGGAAAGCAGGGCTATTACCTACATCGTAGGTTGTTTTAAGGATAAAATTGAGTTAGCGCTTGTGAAGTGTTTAGAGGAGCGTCTGGCATATATTTGAGTGCACAATGCATATTTGCTACTGTTGTTGCTGTTGGTATTATCAGTATCCTTTGGAGTCATAATTTGGGTTTGCATAAGTGTTAAGGAAGCCTGTTGGAAAGTCTTCATAAATTATTAAAGGATACACAGCCCTGACAGCTTAGTTCCTTTTAAGGTCAGAGGGACCCAGAGGGGAAGGACTGTAAGCCCTCACAGGGAGAGTTGCCTTGCTGTGAAGTTTCGGGCACCATCCCTCGGCAGCTAAAATCCATCAGCATTAGCAGCAGGACCTCGTCTGTTAGATGAAGGTAAATGGAAGCCGAGGAACCTCCAGTCTGCACAGGATTTCTTCATGCTCGTGGCGGCCCTTTGCCGATCCTTGCTGTGTGGCAGGCCTGTGGATGCCTCCTAGTCGAGGATGGCTGAAGGCTGAGTTTACCTGTTTCCCCCTGTCGTGGCTGGAAGGACAGGCGCACGCAACCACGTGCACTTCCTGCACTCAGCCGTGTAGACAGGCTCCCACTGTGTATGCGCGTATTGTCTGGCCGGTCAGGCCGGCCGCTGCATATGGAACTCAAGGCATTTTATTCAAAAGTCTCAGTTCCTTTTGCATTTGCATGTTCTGGATGCCAGGTGGCAAACTAGAATTAATTTTAATACGACAGAAACTGCCATTCAGCTCCAAACCATCATCCGTGGTGGCTTATTTTTAACCTGGGGGTGACAGCGGCCACCTGGCTATGCGCTGCCGGGCAGTCGCCTCTCCTGGCATCTGCGGAGGCCTCCCCCGGCAGCCTTACCTCCTAGGAGTTGGTTGGGAGGCTGTGTTTTACTTTTGTAGACTAGCCAGGGAGAGCTGCCGGAAGGGCCGACACCCCGGTTTCCCCGGTGTGCAGATGGGCTGACAAAGGCCAAAGCTGAAAATGTCAGTGAGAACAAACAATATTTCAAAAGGGCCTCGTGCATTTCCCTCCTCTGTGTTCCTGCCTCATCAGCCAAGTGTGCGTGGCTCCAGAAGGACAATTAACCACACGAAAACACAACTCTCCATTCCAGTTAGTTCTGATGCTTTTAAAAAGAACCTACGGCCTAATGATACAGAAAGAGAGAGAGAGAGGAGCGATTGATATCGGCTGATGTCTTTTCTTTCTTTTTTTTTTTTTTAATTTATTTCTAGGAGAGAGAGAGAGACAGCGTGAACAGAGGAGGGTTAGAGAGAGAGGGAGACACAGACTCTGAAATAGGCTCCAGGCTCTGAGCTGGCAGTCAGCACAGAGCCCGACACGGGGCTCGAACCCACGAACCGTGAGATCATGACCTAAGCGAAAGTCGGACGCTTAACCGACTAAGCCATCCAGGTGCCCCTGCTGATGTCTTTTCAAAGCTTCATTTCTTGTTTCTTCTTTTAGTATTTTCAGGGTCCGGAAAGTCATACGGAAATGTTATGGTTCTCTCTCTCATCATCTCATTTTGCGATCTCCAGACACCGTTGGTGGGTGGTTGGTGCCTGCTTCCTGCTTAGAAAGGAGAAAGCGCTTGCTGTCCATCCAGCGCAGTAATGCTAACCCTATCTTAGTCCTCATGTACTAATCGTGTAGGGGTGCCTCTCCCCCGTAGAGCCCAGGCTTGCTCCAGGGATACGAAGGAATCCCAGGGCACGCAGCGAAGTGTTTGGAGGGGGGTTGGGTGTGACCCAGACCTGAGATAGGATCCCAGCTCTGCCTCATAATAGCTGGGCAACTTCAGGAAGTTGTTTCTGTTTCCTGAGCTTCAGTTTCTTCGCCTATAAGCACTACAGACATACATATGGTTCACCTGTCAGGGTCCGTGGAAGATGATGTGACACGGAACCCCAAAGGTGCTGGGGGCCCGGGGACACTGCAGGAACAGGCCTCCCCCTCCCCCTCCCCTGGCTACCGGCTCAGAACCATAGACCAAAGCAGCTGAGATTCAGGAAGTCAACCACAGGCTCTAGACAGAAATGTTCGCTTCCTGGGGTAGCTCACTTCTCTGAGACTCAACTTTCTCATTAATAAACACACGGCATCTTCTGACCACCTCTGGAGCAGGCCAAGTGAGAGGTGGGGTCTGAGTTAAAGTCAGTTTTGTCTGAAGCCAGACCGGGCTCCTGACTAGTGATGTGGTGCCTGGCCTGGCATGTGGGCCACCATGCGGTAGGCGCCGAGGAAGGTAAGCTTCCTAAGGTAAGCTTCCTTAGGAAAGGACTGCCCTTGAGGCTCGAGGAAGAATGCTTCACCGGGACAGTTTCAATGACTTAACCTTTCTGGGTTGGAGTTTATCGGGGATAATACAGTCCTCGAGAAATAATGGGTTTTCTATGAAGGGGTCGGAAGCCTTTTGAGATGGTTACACAGGATCAGGTAGAGTCAGATAATTTTTTAGCTCCTTATTGAGAGTTTAGGTTAATGTCTGCAAAATCCACAAAAGCTCACAGGTTCAATAATTCCTTAACCGGTTGATAGCCGTTGGGCTTCATTTTGAATGTCACGGACTCTTGGGAGGCAGCAACTGATCTTGGCTCTATCTGTCAACATGTTGAGTGTGTTTCTTAGGAAGTTTCAATGAGTCATTTATTCATTCAGTAAATATTGGTTGAACATCTACTCTCTGTCACACTGTTGTGAGAATTAAAGAAACACTATAAACAGAGAAAATGTTTTGCTTTTGGGGGGGCTTCCATCACAGGAAGGGTGGATGGATAAGAATAAATACACAAATAAATAAACAAGTTGCCGTGGAGGCACAAGGGCAGGGTGAGTGAGGGAGACACCGTGGGTCGGATAACAGTGTTCAGGGAAGTGAGGGTGACGTGGAGCCAAAACACAGAAGGCCATGATCTAAGGACAGAACATTTCAGACAGAGGGATGGCAGATAAAAGTATTCTAAGGTGGCAAAGAGCTCAGAATGTCCAAAGGAGCTGAAGGCAAGCTTCATGGCTGGAGCAGAGTGAGCTACACAAGGTTAGAGAGGGAGACAGGAGCCAGCTCATGTAGGTCTTATCAGCCATGATAAGGACATTTATTCTGGGTACAGCAAGAGGCCACTAGAGGTTGTAAATTATGGGAGCAATACCACATGGTCGTGGGAAAATGCTCATAGTATAGGATTAAGTGGGAAAAAAGGCCACCAAATCAAAAACTGTGTATTTAGTACCATGTTCACTATGTAAGTACATAAGTATATACACAAGCATATGCGCGCACGTGCGCACACACACACACACTCAGAAAACTGAAAGAAGATACAGCAACATATTTAAACTGTTGGCAGTAATTTTCTTAGTGGTGGCCTTGCTTTTCCTTCATTACTTCCCTGAATTTTGTCGATTTTCTACAAGTTATATTACTTTCATAATCAGAAAGAAATCCTATGCTTTTTAAAAATTTGGTGGTAAAGCAATTGATGGAGAGAAAGTCAGAGTGACCCTGCTTTACTGTATCTGATCTCAGCGTTGAGCTGAACATGTGGGGCTTTGGAACGCTGTGTGAATGTGGAAGGCTCTGGCCAGCAGAGAGGTTTTATAAATGTCTTTTTTTAAGTTTATTTATTTATTTTAAAAGAGAGGGAGAGAGAGAGAGAATCCCAAGCAGGTTCTGTACCGTCAGCACAGAGCCTTAAGTGGGACTCAAACTCATGAACCGTGAGATCATGACCTGAGCCAAAACCGAGAGTTGGATGCCTTACCGACTGAGCCACCCAGGCACCCCCTAAATGAGTCTTTTTAATGAATCTACCCTAAAACAAACTTCTTACCCTTCCCAGGAATGTATGCAGAAGCATCTAACATTTCTGTCTTATCCACAGATTTGAACATAACCTGCCGATACGCAGGTGTGTTCCACGTGGAGAAAAACGGCCGCTACAGCATCTCGAAGACGGAGGCTGCTGACCTCTGCAAGGCTTTTAACAGTACCCTGCCCACCATGACCCAGATGGAGAAAGCCCTGAGCGTCGGGTTTGAGACCTGCAGGTGAGAGGCAAGGGGGGGGGTGGGGCTTAGAACCGGGAGGCTCCTCCCTGACGGATGATGGATGGACGGTTGCCAGAAGGGTGGGCCCCACCTATTAATTTGGCCACGTCAACCTGAAACCTGTAAGGCAACTGGAGTTTAAAGCTGGCTAAAGACACCTTTGTGACTCATGGTGGGGTTGCCCAAAGGGGGCCATTAAGGGTCAACGGTTGGAATCCTCTTGCCAAAAGTGCTTCCACAGCGCTCTCCCCACTTTGAAGAAGCGTGCAATATCATTGTCGGGACCACAAGAAAACGTAAACCAAATAACAGTGTTTAAAATAAATACGTGCCTGGTGGAGTCTTGGCTCTGCAGACTTGGCTCAAAGCAAGGTTTTTCAAATAACTCCCTCTCTCAGTCTCTCTTCTGTCTTTTTCTCCCTCTCTCTCTCTGTCTCTCGTTTGTTTGTTTCTCTTCTGTGTTGCTCTGGTTTGAGACCGTAAATAATTGAGCATGACGATTATTAAGATTCGTTATTACACACGAGTGGGAAGTGGTCAGAGGGACCCAGAAGGCCTCTTGAGGGACCTCGTACAGGACATCACGGTGCTCCGTGACCCTTCTGCTGCAGGACGGTCACAGCAGGCAGTGGCCTCCTGGTTTTGAGTTTTCAATGGCCCTGTGGTGAGTGGGGCACATTAAGAGCCGGCAGTGGTGACAGCCACGGTGAAGTGGTTTGTTTTGTTTTCACTAGAAGAGCTCTGGGTAGCGTGGACAACTGCTCTGAAGTCACCACCCAGCCGGCAGCCTCCCCCTGTTTTCACAATGTGTGTCATTAGGTAACACGCTTCCTCTTTCTCATCATACACGCACACATACAAACACAATCTGCTTTACAAAAGTCAAGCAGCAGAAGTCTTTACCCAAGCCATGAGATGTGAGTTACATACGCCCATCCACGTCTTTGGCTACAGCGTGACGCACCCACATTTGGAGGTAGCAGAGACTCTTCTGTTGAAAAGGAAAATCTTTACTCCAAAACTGCACTGATAAGGTAGCCACTCACCACACGTGGCAGGTTACCCTTAACGACCATTAAATAAAATTAAACGTTGGTTCCTCGGCGGCACGGTCGACATTCGACATTCGAGTGCGCGGCTAGCTACAGATGATTAGTACCTGCTGTACTGGACAGCACAGATTATAGCACTTTTCCATTGTCGCAGAAAGTTCTACGGAGCAGTACAGCTCTGAAAGAAAGGGCAGATGTGCACAGTCGTCTGTGTGTGTTCAGAGCGAGGTCTGGGAGAAGAGGGAAGGAGCGGAGCAAGGGAGAAACTTTGCTATCTCCCAAACCCCAGCTGCAGGCCACAGTGCAGAAAGGCCAATTAGCAGATCCATTTATTCTGTTCCCAAGGCTAATTGTTTAAACACAGCCCTGACTAGGCCAGTAGCCTAAAAAGAGTAGACTTACTAAGCTGACTTTTGATTGTGAAATACAGGCAAGACATACTTAGGAGACACAGAACTGTTCCCATCTGCTGAAAACTAGAGAAGTTCTTCCGGCCCCCACTAGCTATCTAGTGCACTTGGAGGTTGGGCGCCCTGCTGCTCACTCGCCCACATCCCCTCAATCCTCAGACCACACCCTGGGTCGATCCTATTACTCCGCTTTCTGGATGAAGCCACTGGGGCTTGGAGAAGTGGGACAGCTCTCCCCAGGGCCACGTTGTACACGGGGAGGAGTCCAGACCCCAGTGGTGCTGCTTCGCCTGAGCCCAGGGCCAGAATTTAACGACCCTCCCCAAGGGCGGACTGCAAGGGGGCGGAAGCAATGTGCATGGATTTGTTGAGCATTTCTTTCCTCCCTGTGAATGGCAACCTGCTGGGCCAGTATACACACATTTAAATGTTAAGGGTGGGACACATAGAGGTGGCAGTGGGGGCGTGATGTGGCAAGGACTCAGGAATAACTTACAGAGGGAATGCAGATTCTAGAATGTCGGTATTCCACAGATCTCCCAAATGTGATGGGGGTGGGGTGGGGAGTAGGCTCACCAGGGATATTGTTAATTTAGAAGGAAGGAAGGGAGGGAGGGAGAAAGGGGCACCTGGGTGGCTGAGTCGGTGAAACATCCGACTTCTGGCTCAGGTTGTGATCTCACAGTTCATGAGTTCGAGCCCCGAGTGGGGCTCAGCAATGTTAACACAGAGCCCATTTCAGATCCTCTGTCTCCCTCTCTCTCTGTGCCCCTCCTCTGTGCGCTCTCTCTCTTTCAAAAATAAACATCCAAATCTTTTTTAATTTAAAATGAAAAAGAAAGAAAACCAAAGGGGCCTAAGAAACCTATCCTTCCACCCATAGCAGGTAGTAAGTGTTGCAAAACGTATTTCCATAATTTTGCTCCGAATCAGATACCTGCCACAGGACAGGTGGCGAGTCTCCGAGGCTCCCATAAAACCTTAGCAGCCGCTCTCTTCTGTGTGCCCCACCCTGATTAGTAGCCTTTCCCAGATATATGGAAACCTATTAACATTTAATTGCTCTCTCTCTGCCCACCAAGCTCGGGAGTTTGGAGAAACCAGTCTGTCCTTTCAGATGGGGAATTAGTCATGCGCTACAGTTGCAACATAGACCTAATGAGTTCTGTGTGCTTGCACATTTCAGTTTCGCAGCAGTTTCGTGGGTCTGGGAAGGCGATGGATGCACCATGTGCTGTTGCCTCTGGCAGGAAAGATGAAAAGGATCTACGCTGAGCAGTTTAGCCAGCGTTGCGATTTCCGAAACTTGCTGGATTTAACCTCTTCCTCTTTGCCCTATCCCTGCCTCCACCTCCTTCCCAGCCCCACATCTCGTTTTGAGGCACCTTCTATTCCGGAGAGATCGTGCAGTATTTAGCTTCCACGATGCGGACACAAGAGGCCAGGTGCTGTCTGTCGTATCCAAAGGGGCCTCCGGCTCGGATCTGCTCCCCTGCTCCTGGAAACATCCTGGTGGGGGCAGAGGGGGCTGATGCGCTTCTCTGACTGTGCTGCCTCTGGAAAATTCCTGAGCTAAATGAGGCACCACTATCTACTTACTTGATCACTATTACTCCCATTTTAATGACATTCAATTTACTTCCACTGGCAATGAAATTATGCCCGGGATGCTCGTGAGGCAAAATGTACTGTGTTTCTAGCCTATAAATAAGGCTTTGTGTTTGCAGTAATAGAGTCTGGAGCAAGGGAATCACAGGAAAAGGTGAGGTGGGGAAGGAAGAGGAGGGGCCAGGAAATAAGGCTGTTTGGACATTCCTGGGCTGCAGTGAAGAGCCACCTAGTCCTGTCCTGCGGGAGCTGGTGATATGTATTTCCTGGAAGATGTGAAGGTAATGGAGAGCCAGAGTGGATCTCCCATCATAAAGTGGTCCGTTCTGCCCTCTCCGTGGCTCGGGCTTCCCTCCGCATGTTTGAACGGACTTGACGCTGCTGCCCACGTATTTCATTTGAAACCAGGTTTCTCTTTCATGCGTCTTTCTTTTGTAAGGCTCTGTATAGAGCTTAAATCAAATCAGCTGTGTTGATCCCCTTCCTTCTCCCTTTGCTGCTGTTTTTGGATTTCACGCAACTCAGTTGTTGAAACCTCTGGCATCCCCAGGGGTGAATTGAGGGAAGCAGTGCAGCGTGTGAGATGTCAGTTGATGGCGGTTATGAAGTCCCCATCACAGCCTTGCAGGTGGGTGACCTCTTCTTGTCTCTTGCAGGTACGGGTTCATAGAAGGACACGTGGTGATCCCCCGGATCCACCCCAACTCCATCTGTGCCGCGAACAACACGGGGGTGTACATCCTCACATCCAACACCTCGCAGTATGACACGTACTGCTTTAATGCTTCAGGTTGGTCCCGAGTGGATTGTCGTTGCGTTTGAGGTTGCTTGGGGGCACGCGGGCCTTTGGCAGCGTGGCTGACAATAATTCAAGGTTGGCTAAAGTGGAGGTTCGTGTAGCTTCCGTTCACGTAGCAGATGCTCACTGCATATCTGCAGAGACAAGATTCCCATCTCCAGGGTGCTTACTCTCTAGACAGGGAGGCGACATGAAACAGAGGAACGTAAAATACCTTAGGTGATGGGAGAGAGTGATGAGAGCTGTAAAAAAGAAAGCAGAGCAGGGGGCTTCAGAGTGCTAGGGAAGCTTTTCTCTGAGAAGGTGGCCAGGGAAGGTGCCTGTGAGCAGGTACACTTGGGAGAGCCCCAGCTAAAGTCAGGGAGGAAAGCCAGAGGCAGAGGGGACAGCCAGTGCAAAGCCAGGTGTGTGTGTGGGGCATTGACCACGGGGGCCAGAGTAGATAAAGCCCTGCTATCTATCAGAAGTGAGAATGTGAAGGAATGAAGCCAGAGAGGTAGGCAGGGGCCATTTCACATAGGGCCTTGTAGGCCATGATAGAGAATGTGGATTTTACCCTCAGTGTCATGGGAAGTCATTGCAGGGCTTTGAATAAAGAAGTGACTTGAATCTAATGATAGCATTGGTGTATAAGCCAAATGGCTTAGCTTAGAGGTATTTATTATATGTCGGGGCTGGAGAGAAAGCTGGGAAGATATGCTGTAACCCTTTGACCTTCTTGAGTTTCCTTGCCCAACAACTGAGAGCCTGACAACTGGAGAATAAGAACGCCAAGCTACGGTGTGCATGCTGGCTGCTGGCCAGGCCCCTCTCCCTGTCTAAGGGACCTGCTTCCAGCCACTGGCCTAGAAACTCATGCTCATAAGTCTCATTCCGGCTCCAGCAAAATTCAAGAATTTTTCAAGATACATGCATCATGTATCTTCAGCGTCTATCAAGAAGGGTCAAAAACGTAAATGTCAAATTTTGAATGCCAGCAATGAAACAATTGATTACTTACTTCTCAGCCTGGGCCTTCTGTCCCTTAGGAAGGTTTTAGATTGTGTGAAGGGAAGATGGAACCACAAGATAAACTTGACACATCTCCCTGGCATATCAGTTTTCCTTAAAGATGGGAAGGAGGATGTTAAATTAGCTGGATAGCAGTTAAAGACAGTATCTGTATGAGACTACCACAGATTATTATACAGTGACTTAAGGCATTGTTTGCATAAGACAAACACAGATGTCATATATGGTAGTAGAATATCAAATCTTCATGGAGTTTTAAGTGCAAGGGGAAGCATCAGAGTATTTGTGAGGTTACTCAGTAGCTTTCACTCTCCGGCCACCCACTGTGGCCATGACCAGTGGGGATCGGAGTGGGAAATCAAAGGAGAAGTCTAGAGCTTAGGAGAAAGACAAAGCTTCAGGGTTGAATAGTTGAAATAGAATGTGTGAAGCCAATAAATTATGTCAAATACATGCAGGTCCCTAAGCCTGTGGGAGGGACATTCAAAACACGAAAAAGAAAACTGCAGTGTTTGCTCTTCCCTGGTATATGAGCAAAGAGTGCAAATGAAGTTTAACCAAAAAGAAGAGAGTCCAAATGAGGCTAAACAGTACATGGCCCGTACCCCGTTCCCACACTCATGGCCACAATGTCCGTCTAATGACACGATGGTGAGAAAAACCACATGCAAATAAAGGAGAAATGGACACAAAGCAACATGTGGTCTAGCTAGCTCATTTTATTGCCGGAGGTCAGAGAAGGGCTTTGGGAAGACGTTGTGCTTTAGACACATGGGACTGCATACACCAGAGTCCCTGTCCTGCTTGTTTCTTCTCCCACTGAGTCTTGTCAAGTGAATGCATGCAATAAATTATGTTGTTGCATATCCACATTGTCTCACCTGTTTAACAAGTTAGTATCACTTGCTGGAAAGAACCTTACCTCAAAAAGCTAAAAGCTCACACCATTTTATTGCCTGGAATCGCAGCCATCTAGACAAGTTACTGCGGAGACTTCTCTCCCTGCCCTTATTTTTGCCCGTAAGGATGGGCCTATCCCCAGAGAAGGGAGTGAACAGTACTGATCAACTTTCTTTTCCTTTGAGGGGGAGGCGTGAGTCCAGCGGAAAAGTTGGAGAGGTTCGGGGCTGTGTTCATACCTAAATGGCTGGAGCAAAGTAGTAAAGTTTAAGGTTAAGATTTCCTTTTCTCTTATCCATATTTACTTAATGTAGATAGGTCGCTTTTATAAGTTTTTTTCTTTAAGTTTTTTGGTTTGTTTTTAAATGTTTATTTATTTATTTAGAGAGAGAGAGAGAGGGCACTAGTCGGGGAGGGGCAGAGAGAGAGGGAGACAGAGAATCTTGGCACAGAGCCCAACACGGGGCTCGATCCCACAAACCTCGAGACCATGACTGAGCTGAAATCAAGGGTGGGATGCTTAGCTGACTGAGCCACCCAGGTGCCCCAGTTTTCCTTTAAATTAAAAAAAAAAGATTATTTATTGATCAACTATATGTACTCCATATCTTGCTCGGCAAGTTGGGTAAGAAAGAACCAGCGGCCATATTTCTTGTTTGGGAGGTAATTTCATTGAAGCTATGAAAAACAACAACAACAAAATTTGAAAAGTTAGAGAAGATTGTTTATCTCAGGATAACCAAATGTCTTGGTTTAGACTCAAATGATAGAGGTGGTAGGGGAATCATGGGTCTTGATAACCTTCTCTTCCGAGAATCTCATCGGAAAGACCCTTGAATCCAACTTAGCCTGAGAGTTGCCAGCAGGTGGTCAAGACCCAATGATGAGATCGCCCACAAGACCTTTTTGGTCTACAGGGACCAAAGCCAGCTCAATCTTAGCAGACCACTTCCGTGTGCTTACGGTTTCAGCAGTATTTTTGTAAAACATGGCCTGTGGGTTACAAATGAGAATAAGGCAGACCTTGGAAAGCCTCCATGATTTTTATTTTTATTGCCTCCTCTCTCAGGAAGGCCCAGCACAAGCCTGGTGGCCTCTGTGTTAACAGCCCAGAGAACTGGGTTGAATCAGTTCAGTTTTCAAGTTTGCCTCCAGTAAAACACCCCATTCTCTTTTGAAGGGGGGATTTAGGAGAAGATTCTACATTTGTTTGTCTCTTCACTCACTCATCCATTCAACAAATATTTATTGGATACCTAGAATGTATCAGGCATTGAGGAAGATGTCTTTCTACCTGACACCGAGTCATTGGCTAGACGGAATAATTGACAGTTCTTTGGGCTGTTTAGCTGTAATGGAGGCCAAGTTCAAGGTGCAGCCTGCCAGAAAGCCCACCCCAGAGTCTTTCTAACGACTCCTGGGGTTCAGGAGAAGCTCAGTAGGCCTGATTCTCCCTCCCAGCAGTGCAGTGCTCATTAAGTAGAATAGAGACCTGTCAGTGAACCCCTGGAGTCCGACATGGGAGCGTGAAGGGATTAATTGCACATTTGGGTCACCATTCATCCTAGTGTGTTCGGCAGATCTGATGTCCTTTATAAAAGTTAAGGTGAACTAGAGCATGAAGAGGCTCCTTTGGAACAAATGCACTAATGATTTACAAAACTGTCCTGATGTTTTTTACATTGTGCCCCATTCTACACCAACCTAACTCCTGGGACTTCCCTCCCAGGGCACGGCTGTTGCCTGCAGTTGTGTTTGAATTTGGAGAACGTTGTTTGATCCCTGTCATTAAGAGGTCATCCTCCAAAACCTGTTTCTGGATTTGTGCAACGTGACAGTATCAGAAGCATCCCTGGGGCACCTGGGTGGCTCAGTCAGTGGAGTGAGTGCTTGACTCTCGATTTCGGCTGGGGTCAGGGTCCCAGAGTCATGGGATTGAGCCCCATATCAGGCTCCATGCTGAATGTGGAGCCTGTTTAAGATTCTCTCTCTTTCCATCTCTCTTTCTGCCCCTCCTCCAGTTGAGTGCTTCCTCCCTCTTCCCCCCAGTAAAAAAATTTTTTTTAAATTGAAAATTTAAAAAAAGAAACATTTCACAGGTCAGGCCGGTTTCTGGTGGCGTTATCACAACACACAGGATAGAGACTTCAAGATCTCCCAGGTTGGCTATTTGTCTTGATTTTCAAATGAGGAAATCATTGGGAAAATTATTTGAAAGCTATAAAAATCTGAAGAAATATTGTTATTGTTCCCCATGACCTTGTGAATTCCTCAAAAGCAGGGACAGGAACATTTTCATCTTTTTTGCTCTATTTTTTTTTTATCTGTCACATGAGTAATGCTTAAAATGAATAAATCAACTGACATTTCTAAAACTTTTAAAAAAGTATTTCTTATAGCATTGCCACTCAGGGTTTATCTAAACATTTCTTGACCTGTGTATAATGGCAGTGCATTTGGAAGGTTAACATCTTAAGTATGTTTCCTGGAAGAATGGACCTGTGGGGAATTATAATGGTATTTCTCCTGTCATTGATTAAACAAATATTTATCAAGTCCCTTTCTGACTCCATCACACATAAATGTTCTGCCCAAGACAGATAAGGTCACCACTCATCTTGTAGCACTTACATATGTCTATGGAGCAGGGGTTAGGTTTGGGACATGTGCTATGAACAACCATGAGATCAAATGAACAAGATAATTTGAGAGAGCAGTGATCCAGAAGAAAAGCTGCGAGCAAACACGTGATGGCAGTGTTATGTAGGGGACTGGTAAGGGGCTGGCTGAGATTGGATGGTGAGGGACAGCCTTACTGAGAAGGTGATTCTCTGAGACCCTCTTCTGAGAAATCTTTTAATTAGGCTTTACAAGAATGGCTTTTCCTAAAACCTGTTTTTTTTCCAGTTGAACATATAAAGCTGCTGGTTAGTTTCACTATAAGGTCAAAGAAATAGGTAGGTAAAGGGCATCCCCTTACCAATGTTATGTTATGAGTACCCATTAATTTATGGCAGAACACTTAAAATACTTATGATCACAGCCTTGCTAGTAATAGCAGTCTTCCTACCTCTGTCCATCCATCCATCCATCCATCCATCCATCCATCCATCCATCCCTTTCTTCCTTCTTCTTTTCTAAGAAGCAACTCTAGGGAGAAACCAACCTAACAAATAAGCTGCCATTTTGGGCACAGGTCACACACACACTCATACACGCGGTATAAAAGCTATAATTCACAAATGGATCCAAACTTCCTGCAACAGCAAAGCTAGTTTGAGGCTATCTGAGTTTTTGGAGCTCTATACCAAGTCTAGTTACCAAATAGAGCATTTGGGCATAAATGGAACAGCTGGTGAAGGCATTCTTCGATCTTCTATTTTAGGGCTCAGGTATGCAGGGTGGAATTTCCAGGGCGTTTTCAGAAGGTTTTACGAAGTGTTCTCAGACAGCTACTTAGTAATGTCTCTGGGTGGTTAGGAGAATCCCAACTACAGTCAGAAATCTTTATTCCTGAAGAAGAGGGGAAAATAGAAGACAGACGGAGGACAAAGGAAAAGAAACCAGGGTGCCCATGGTGGGGTATGCCAGCACAGTGGTCTCAGGAATTAGTCTGGGCACCTAGACCAATGGTGGACAACCTACCTCATTAACCATATGTTGGAAGAAGTCTAGACAGAGTAGGCTTAGGAGTCAGCTAAATTAATCAACATACCAGTGCATCAAAAAGGAATATTTCTATCAAGTAAATTCTTGGTGCGTATTTCAATCTACATAATCTCATGTGGTTCATGTTGACAAACATTTGATTATATTGGTCTGTCATGTGTTTCCTTCATTTCTATAGAGTACTGGGATTGCACATCATTTTTTCATTATAGTTCACGCACTTCTTTATTAAAAAATGTTTTTACAATCCTCCCACATTCCTTTTATTTATTTTTTTATTTACTTTATTTTGAGAGAGAGTGCATGTGTGGGAGGGGCAGAGAGAGAGGATCCTAAGCAGGCTCCATGTGTCAGCACGGAGCCTGACATGGGGCTCCACCTCACAAACTGTGAGATCATGACCTGGGCTGAGATCAATGCTGAACCAACTGAGCCAGCCCGGTAACCCCCCACATTACATCTGTAATAGCAAACTTAAAAAGTAATTTCTAATGTATGCCTCATATTATTAGAGATATTATTTACCATAATATCCCCAGCCTTCCACAACACCTGGTAGAGAACATATATATGTATTTGTTTAATGAATGAATCTATTAGGGTGGAAAGAGGAACAAGTAAGCTTCCAAAAGTGTATGAAGGTAAGTAAAAATGGAAAATGCATCACAAAGTTCAGGGAAGTTCCTAGGAGGCTTCATCAAGTTTCAGAAAAAGAAAATTACTTGTTTCTCTTATATGTGGAATCTAAAAACCAAATGAACACACAAACAGAAACAGAATCATAAATACAGAAAACAAATTGATGGCTGCCTGAGGGGAGAAGGGTGGAGGGATGGGTGAAATAGGTGAAGGGGAATTAAGAGGTACCAACTTCCAGTTACAAAATAAGTAAGTCATGGAGGTGGAAGGTATGGCATAGGGAATAGTCACTAATATTGTAGTAACCTTGTAAGATGACAGATGTCGTGATGACCACTGAGTAATGTGTAGACTTTTTGAATCCCTATGTTGTACACCTAAAACTAATGTAACATTGTATGTCAACTGTATTTCAATAATAAAAAAAAGAAAATTATTTGGGATAATTTTTAATAAAACCCCATCTGAACTAATAAAAATCAGTTTCGCTCATAGTTTTTAGTGTTCTCATGCCTTTTTTTCCTTGGTACCCCACAGCTCCACCTGGAGAAGATTGTACATCGGTCACACACCTGCCCAATGCCTTTGAAGGACCAATTACCATAAGTACGTATTTCTTGTAACCCTGATTGCATTTCTCCATTCTTGGGAAAGGGATCAGGTGTATTTTCTGTGTTTCACATGCGAGTAGAAGAGTTGTTTCCCTCAGCTAGGGACACTGGCTGTAATTCACTGTCCCTTTCCCTTCTCCTGCAGTGGCTTGAAACTACAGTTTGGTTGACCCCAACACATTGTTCCTCAAACTGCCGTCATTTGAAAACCACTTTCACTCTTTTTGGCCCTTCTAAGTACACGGAACAGTCATTGCCTTGGTATTTTGTGTTTAATTGGTCCATTCTTTTCTACTTAAACTATGTTTATTTAAAAACAAATACCTGCAAATGGAAAACCCGATTCTTGGTCACAAGCAGAAGGTATCCTTAATCATATACTTAAAATGTAGGACAAATTAAGGAGCCTTCTTAAATTCTAGCTGCTGAAGGTTCTGAGTTTAGGCTGTGTTCTCTCTCATAGAAGGAGATTAATAAGTGTTAGGGGGAGAGGGATTCGAGCCCCCTAAATTTTATGTTTAATTGTAGCACTGAAAGATAATTATAAAGGGCATAAACTTCCTAATAGGGATTTCAACACTATTTATACCACATCCACCTAAACTCATCTTGATGATCCCAAGAAATAGACACTATGAAAATAGAAAATCTCAACCAAAATTTTCAAAGAGGTCAACTTATTAACCCTGATCTTCTGGCCTCTGAACCTCGTTTTTTTTTTGAGAAGTGTCACAATGTTGAGGAGGCCTGATTTCTGCCTTCTAAGAGCCAGACCCCTCAGTGTACAAGGGAACAATGGTGGCAGTGGCGGAGGGCCGAGAATCTTCCTGGCCATGCACATCCAGCCCTGTGCTGTTAGATAAAATTGTCTCTGACCCGTGCCTCATGGGAGGAAGGGGAGGCCCACAAGGTGAGATGTGCTGTCTCAGTCAGGCTTGGCCTAGTTCCTTACCACCTGGGTGATCTGATAGGAATGACTTACACTCTCTGGGCCTCAGTTTTCTCATCTGGATAATGGAACAACAGGTGAGATTTGAAAGGAAAATGAAGAAAGGTAATATGTCTAATGCATGCTTGGCCCACAGTCATGTTCAGTAAACATCCCATTTCCTTGGTGCCCACCAATGCCTTTCAAAGTCCAGACTTATCTGAGTTTCATCATATCTTCTGATCAAGTCTTCATCTGCAGAGGTTATTGGGCTATTTGAGACTTTGGAATATTTTTTTTCTTTATGTTTTATCAATAGTTCCACTTGGGCAAGCCAGACAGGTGGACAAAAGGAATATTTAGTCCAATGCAATATAGCAGAAAATAATTTCAGCTAAATGCATACTTGTGCGGTGAGTGGGCCAGACTTGGCAAAGGCAGCAAAATCCTTTGAGGGGGAACAGTGAACGAATTCATCCTTGCTTTTTCTCCTCGTGTCTGTTATCGGCATTTCCTTGTTGAAATCAAAGAGTTTGATCTTTATATGCCTCTGCGCTTCTCAAATTCAAGTTTGAGTGTCACAGAGGATGGGCATGGGCTCTGTCACTCTTTAGGCATGCTGATCCCTTAGCCAGAGTAGGACTTCTCGAAGACTGACAACATTTGCCCCTTAGAAAGAAAGCCTAATTCTTCATGGATTCGCAAATATATATTCCCTGTTGAGACTACTAACCTCTTTGCCCCTACTTCGAATCCTTTCTAGAAATAGATGGAATCAATAGCAGCAAATTTTACGTGTCATTGAGAAGGGGTGATAGGAACCAGCGGGAGAATTATTATTTTTTGAGACTATGCTGAGGACTTTACCCTCAGTGTGTCATAACAGAAGGTAGTACTCTTCCCATTTGACAAATGACAAAACTGAAGCTCAGTACCAGCTTTGTCGAGAGGCACACAAAGCTGAAATACAAATATGGACACTTCCAAACACACCCACTTTCCCCTCCCCATTTCCAGGAGGTGTGGGTGGGCAGGGGAGGGTACCCTTCCTTAGTGCATCACCTACTCCCCCCACCCATCCAGATAGGTAGGTAAGTGTTGGTTTGCCTAATAACAAGGAAAAATAGCTTTGAAAGTCACGGTCTTGTGTGATAATCCAGTCTTCCCTAAACTCAGAAACTGTCTGCATCAAATTCTGAGAGTGCTTCTCTCTCTCCCAGCTATTGTTAACCGTGACGGCACCCGCTATTCCCAGACGGGTGAATACAGAACTAACCCAGAAGACATCTTCCCCAGCAACCCCACTGACGATGACGTGAGCAGCGGCTCATCCAGTGAAAGAAGCACTTCAGGAGGCTACATTTTCCACACCCACCTTCCAACTGCATACCCGACCCAGGACCAAGGCAGTACAGGGGTGTCCAACAATCCAGAGAATACCGCCATTACCAGTAAGGAGAATGAATCACTGTGGCTTTCCGGTGGCAATTTGTTTGCAGAAATGTCTCTGATCTTCCTGAGGGACGGGCCCTCACTTGTGTGTTGATTTTCACCTGTCTCTAGAAGTTGGTGACCTCGTTTGGGGAGGTGGGCTATTATGGCTGTCAGTGCCCTGTATGCATTGACTGCTGCTACTGCCTACAATTTTTTTCCACCTACTCCTCTGTTTTGCTTACCTTGGGAGAAGAAGCGCCATATTGGAAGTGTTTTTAGAAGAATTTTTCTTGTTCTTTTGTCTCAGGGATGTGGTGACAAGCATGATACAGAAGCTAGTTTTACTTTTACATGTTTCTTTCTTGTTCTTACCCACCTTTGGATAAGATTGTTTTCGTAAAGTTGGGATCATAACGTATGCGTACCATTCCATCTGCTTTTTTCCACTGAACTTTACGTTTTTATGTTTTAACTTGATTTATGCTGTTTTATTGATGGTACGATATTCAGTCACACTCATCACCCATGATTTACTAAACAATCCCTCTGTTTTGGGTTTAAGGAAGCATATCTGAAGGAATTATCTGATCAAATTAAATCTGCTTGAAAGTTGTATATCCCAGCCTGTAGGGGAAGGCTGTTCATACTTGCTTGGTTATGTGGGTAATTCATTACTTTAGGACTGCAAGAGTGGAAATATGTAAACATTGCATTTGATTTCTTTGAGATTTTTTTTTTCCTTGCCCTTTGTGCCCACTTTCACTGGAAAGTGTTTGCATCGCCCTCTTATCTCCCTCTTTGCCTCCCTCTTTGCTTTCTCCCTATGGTTTGTTTTAAAACAGGTTTGCAGATTGACTGCGTTCCTTCTGTGGAGGGTTACTCAAAATGAACAGGGCATTTGCCTCTTGGGCGGCTTTCCCGGTATGGGGTGGATTTTCTTTCTTCCTGTCTGTGGCTCTGAAGGGCTGGAACTCTGGTCCTCAAAGAGCGTGGCAGAAGTTTACTGCTTTGTGAATGCTCAAGATAGGGCCCCTGTCTGTGCCTTGCCACCCGGAAGCCAGGGCAACCTTCAGAGCACTATGACTTAGTGTAAGGTTACTTGCTTGACAGTGTTTGAAATTTCTGCGAGCAGCATGCCGAGGGTGCGGAACAAATAGGCGTGAAGGCTGGTCATTCTCTGCAGATCCTTTGAAGCATTTCAGGGAGCACATGTGTTCAACCTACCCATGCTTTCCCAGATTACTGGCTCTCTGAGGATTGTCACCTCACTGTCTATTGTCCCATGGAGAGCCCTTCTTGAGAGGAGCTTCTATAAACCAAGCAGGCAGTGCTGCTGGCTGCCTGCTACTTCCGGAGTGCCCTGCCTTGGTAAAGTAACCCTGACGAAGGTGCCTATCATCAGGGCATGCAATTTTGTCAGATGTCGGCAGGCATAACAATTAGTGGTCTCAGCAAGAGGCAAATCAAGTCTACTCTAAGGTACTATTTCCCACCAAGGAAGAAAATCATGACAAAATATATCTTTTAGGAACTAGGTGAAATTAACATTCAATCCATTATTAGCCTATGTAATATAGTGAGTATTTCATGTGTACTTTGGAAAGGCAACGGGGTCATTTTATGGACAGTCATTGCACATCTTTTAATTTTTTTTTTTTTACTGTTTATTTTTGAGAGAGATAGAGAGACAGAGTGAGCACAAGTGAGAGAGGGGAAGAGAAAGAGAGAGGGAGAGAGAGAATCCCTGTTGCAGAGCTCAAACCCATGAACTGGGAGATCACGACCTGAGTCGAAGTTGGATGCTCAATCAACTGAAACACCCCGGCTCCCCACACACCTTTTAAAGGATTGCACATTTTCTGCTCAAGTTAGTTAGTCAGCAAACATATTTTGAGGACCTACAATGTACCAAGTCTGTTCCAATGCTTGGGATCCAGTGGTGAATACCCTTGGAAAGTGATACTGAAGGAAGATAAGGATTAGTAAGCTACTAACCAATATTTACTAAATATTAACCAATATTTGAGGTCTCCTCTGGGCCAAATGCTGCTCTAGCTACTTAGGATCCAGAGTTGGACTGAGTTTTTTGGAGCCCATCTACTGTTCAGAAATCCAGAAGGAATGCTTTGAGACCTAACTACAACACAGGATTTGGGTTGAGAAGAGAAGTGTTCTTTCCTCTTTTCAGAGCACTTAGCTAAGTTTCTCTTAGTAGTTCAGTAAGAGAGAGACTCGTTTGTCCAACAGAGTGAGTCCAGGGCTAACCTGAGAGTCATTGAAGTGCTCTGGCATCCAGACAGGCCAGTGACAGCTCCAGATAAATCCATTCGTGCAAAGAAGGGCATCCAAGAAAACAACCAAGTAGCAACTTGAAAGCTGTCCGTGGTATCTTAGAAAAAGTTACCAGTGGTAAGTTTCTGAATAGACCCCATTTTCTGAGCCCAGTGAGGAGATTCCCAAAGCTTTGTGACTTCGTGACTGTTGACCAAAAGGTAGAGCTTGGCGGGAGGGAGTGACAGCAAATCCTCCTTAATGGATACAGGAAGACCGATGTCCAGAGGAGGTCTGGCTGAGGACAGAGAAGCACATCTCTAGCTTGCCTGGCTCATTCCCTCCTTAAGTGTCCTTCGTGGGTGGCAGTAGGGAAAGCCAGTAAGAACAGCCATCTGGGGAGATTTGGGGTTTCCAGCAGGTTTCTATTACAAATGTGATTTTGGGGAGAGCCTTCCTGGGGGCATGCTGTCAGCCTCTTTTCTATCGGTGATCTGGAATTCTCTGGAATCCAGAAACTTAAACCAATTCAGAAAGCAGCCTCTTACCTTGGGACACTTGATTTCCTTGTCTTCTGGGTGTCAAAGAAATATATATATATTATATATATATTTATATATATATTATATATATAAATTATATATATTATATATATATTTATATATATATTATATATATAAATTATATATATATAATATACACACATGTAAAAAATATATAATATATATTATACACGTGTATATAATATATATATATATATATTATATATACACATGTAAAAAACACCTTTTATTGGCCTGGCATGGCCCACATAGGGTGGGAAAATTGACGACTCTGCTGAATTCCTGTCAGGAAAATAGAAATATTCCTATTTCTATCTTGCACTTGTATTTTTACTTCCTCTTGGTCTCTTCTTGGTGTTCTATAGGGCAAGGGTGGCAAGAAGGTCTATAGCTTTAATAAGGTTTCTGAGGACAGAATAGGGTGCATGAGAATTTTCCAGGCAGATGCTCAGGCTTATCTGGTGAAATTGGCTCCTCATCTCTCTACTCTGTACTCTCTATTCTGTTCCAATGTGTCTTTGGTAGCACAGAGTACATTGCACAGGTTGTTGATGTTTGCTGTATACAGAGTCAAAGGTTTTCACCTGGAATTAATGGATTTCTTGGAATTAATACCTACTTCCAGTAGGTTCAATGATAGGTCACAAGGTATTCAGGAGCTACCTGAAATAATACCCAAACTTTTGAGAATGCATATATGTCGGATCACTTTTTTGAGGACAGAAGTCATAACTTATATCAGATTTTCAAAAGGGTATATAACTCAAAATGGCTTTTAAAAATCTTGACTGGTTTAGATGTTTATCTTGATGATCTTTGCTCTTTGTCTTCTGTAGGGAAACATTCTATTTTTTATGTTTATTTATTTTTTGAGAGAGAGAGAGACAGAGTGTGAGTGGGGGAGGGGCAGAGAGAGGAAGACCCAGAATCTGAAGCAGGCTCCAGGCTCTGAGCTGTCAGCACAGAGCCCACCATGGGGCTCAAACTCACAAACCATGAGATTATGACCTGAGCCGAAATCAAGAGATGTTCAACCAACTGAGCAACCCAGGCACCCCTACAGGGAAACATTCTGGACTCAAGTCCCACTTGAGAGTCAAATGGAGAATTTCAAAATACAAAACATTACTGATTATCCTTTTTCTAATTAGAATAGAGTCCAGAATTTCTCTGACTTGGACAGTCTTGTTTCTTTTCTGGAAACACATTCTCAATCAGAATTAAAAGTGACAGGAAGTGATAGATGGATACTCAGCAAAGCTTATCTGAGTTCAACATTTTGAACACACACCCTTTGCAAAGTTCCTGCTCAAGCATAAAGCATGACTTGAAGTTAATGAGTGTGGGCAGAACTTTGAAATGGCGGTTGTCACCATACACTACCAGCACAAAGTGATAGACCGAAAAGATACAAGAAAACACTCTAAAGCCACTCGAAAAATAAATGAACAAAAGCAACTTGATGAAATGCTGCATCGAAGATCTTCAGTTCATGGCTGGGTCACCCCATCAAGTAAATATAAAGTCTCTTTTCCTTCATACAGGTTATTAAGTTCCTACTTGATTTTGCTCTGAGCCTGTGTTCAGAGGGTTTCGTTTGAAGAACGAGTAGCACTGACTTGATACCTGTACAGCATTTGCCTTTCTGATGTTGTTCTAAGATTCCAAGAGACATTAGGAGAATGGAAAGATAAAAGCAGGCCTCGATCTTTCTTTTCTAATCTTCACTCTGTAATAGATACAACTTTATATGTACATGCAACTGAGTGTAAAGGTTTTGTAGAAAAATCTCACTAAATGGTATTTTCATAATTGATCCAGTTACTTCAGCTGTGCACTCAAACAGCCACGCAGCAGCTCAGGAGCAAAATAATTGGATGTGGTTCTGGTTGGGTACCTCACAGCCTAAGACTCAGGATCATGCAGCAGCAACAACAGGTAAACGGTTATGTCTTTTGTTTATCCATTGTCCTCAATGCCAGGTTTTTCAAGATCAAGGAGAAAGGACATCCATTATCATGTAGAAATTTCCCACTGATGTCCCATCTCCCTCCTTTGGGAGAACAGGATCTGGTGCCATTTTATTTATTAGAGGGGCCTGTGCATCTGGGGACACAAGTGGATTCTCTTATATGTTCTATTTGTTTTCCTTAAGGCAACATGCACATAGAATCAGAATTATTTTTCCTTCAGAAGCTTCAGTTAGGAAATTCATGCAGAACATAGCCTCTTGAAAAGAAGTCTATTAGAAAGTGCATACTCCTACCTTCTGCTGATCTCATCATCACAATCAATGATAAGAGAGGGAAATGCTGATTTATGGATGGAAAATGTAGGCCCTGTGCACCGGTTTGGACATCTAAATCCTCAACTGTGAAGTGGAGGCAATGACTTGTTGCTTTCCGTCAGAATCTAGGCCTGTAACCAGTTTCCTGGACGTTTGACTATTAACTCCAAATCCTTCCAAAGTATTCTGAATTGAGAGCTTATGTGGGAAGAGATTCCAAGTCTCTAACAATGGGAGATGACAAGCATATCTTCCTTTATGAACTTTTATTGATGGACGATATGACCATATTTCAAAATAATTGGGCATTCTTTTTGCAGAAGGAGAGTAATAAAAATGGTCTTTAACCCTTGCTTAGCTTATAACACATTGAGTAAACTATATTTTTTATTTTGACAAATACTCATGTAAGGAAAATAGTGTTGATGTTATGTTGTGATTACATGTCATAGTGAATAAGGTAATGCTGGAGGGGATGTGGAGAATAAAGAATACACTGTTTTTAAATGTTGACAATGTTTATCTTCATAGAACAAACATTGTGACGGAAAAGGTCTTTCTTGTCAGTTCTTCATCTTGGGCCATTTCTGGGCTTTCTTGATAGCTGAAAAAAAGATATCTCATCACCTTACTTTTGTCTTTGGGGATTTAATAATGGTTTTAGCCTCTCTGCTTGAACTTTTTTTCAGCTTTTTATCCAAAGAATATGAAATATTCTTCTGGTGGACATTATGGTTGCAGAAATGGCAGTCTTGGGAAGTCTCAAACCAGGACTCTTATTTCTGATTTTTATTAGTGAGATCATTGGTTCACTTTGTGCCTGCCTTTCCTGATTGATTACCTTCCTTTCAAAAACATACTCAAAATGTCACGTTCTGCTTTGCAAAATATAGTGTTGACATAGAAAGTGGCCATGGGCAAAATTGCTACAGGATCTGGACACTAAATGGAAAAAGGTGGAAAGTCATCTTTTTTCATCTTTCCCTTCATGTGGTATCCTTCTGTGTGTTGGGGATTGCGGGATTATGTATCTGGGCTTGCTGGTGGAAATATCATACCCTGAATTCATGGAGAATGATATTGTTTGGTGAAGATAGAGTGTGTTGAAGATGGTGGGCTAAGACTGGGGAGCTTGGTATCAGAATCATAGACTCAGATTTGGAGAAGATCTTCAATAGTTTCACTCAATCAACCCTTCTAATCATTTGATCTCCTACACAGTTTTCCTGCTAAGTGATCTTTCTGATGACGGGGAACACAATACTTTATGAAGAAGTTCATTGTTGGATATTTCAGATTATAACCTTTTTAAAGCCAGCGTTTGGAAGAATAGTCATCCCCTGCAATTCTTGCCACTGGTCCTGGTGTGGCCTTTGGGGGAGCACAGACAAAAATTTAATCCCTCTGTGATGTTATAGTTTTTAAAAATTCAAAGACTGCTGTCATGCTGTCTTTGAGACCTCCCATTTGGCCTTTCTGACTCCACACAAGGCAGGGTCTGTCCAGAACAGTTTTTCCTCTTTAAGATGAGGATCATTAACCGGATGATATTTAAGGTCTTTCCATTTCTGACATTCTATGACCTGCAGTATGGGCTTCTAAAATAAGTGGAACTTCTGTGCTTTTTCTATTTCTTCCCGCCATCTATATTACATATAGATGACTCTCTTGAGTAGTGAAAGAGGCAAAAGCATATTCAGTGCTAGTTCTTAGGAACTCATAATTAACCTTTCAACCATCAATTCAATTATGGTTACAACAGCTTTGATGAGCTCTAGTGGTACAACTCCCAAAACAGCAACCAAGAGACAAGAAGCCCAGGATTGGCTTTCGTGGTGGTTTCAACCATCAGAGTCCAAGAACCATCTTCACACAACAACAGTAATGGCCGGTAATGAGCTATTATTATCTCATTTCATAAGATCTCTTGACAGTTTTCAATAGTTCATTGACCTCAGGGATACTATCTAAGTCTAAAGTCCATTCTGGTTTCACAAATGTTTTTGATGACTTTTGAAAGATCATGAGCTCTGAGATCCATGTTTGATTTTATAGCATTAATAGTCAGATTTCTTTTTTCTACTCTCTAGAATTAATACAGCCCCAGAGGAGGCTGATAAGAGCACTGTGAAAGGGGATCAGGTCTCTCTTGATGACAGAACTAAATGTTGGCCCTGAAAGATATTCTAACATGACAAAAGTCATTGAAGCTTCTTGACTTTCCATGAGAAAATAAAATAGCATAGCTAGAACTAGAAAAACATAGAAAATCTCCATCCGTGGAATGATTCTTGGGGTAGACACTGGCTGTAAGAAATGGCTGAAAGACAATCGGTCGCTCCAAAAGATAGCATGAATCTCATTCAAAATACAGGAAACCCCTTTTCCGTAAAAAGGCATCTTCTACAGTAACCAGTAAAAAGAGGCAGAGGGTTTCCATCTTCTTTCCAATGATGCAGCCCAAAGGGAAAACGTGAGAATTTCTCAAAACCTTGGCTCCAGTTCACTTTAGTCAACCCTTTTGGTGGACTAATAAATGCCAGGCATGATTTCCCTGTTAACGGATTCACTTTATTTTTCTGTATGCTGCAGTGCTGGTGGGAATGGGAATTCAGCTTTCATTCGCGTTCAGAGCTAGGGTGTTGTGATGCAATAGAAAGTCAAAACATGAACTAACCAATCATGAGTACAACTATGGGATTTTAAGAATGATTGACGTATGTTTAGATTCCAAAATTTTTCTGAAGGTTGCTGAACCAAAAAAAAAAAAGAGGTATATGGGAAACGTTTCCAGTCTATTCTTGGCACCCTAGCTTTGATGGCATATGTTTAATTAATAAGTTAATAATCGGAAAGCCTGGAGGGGTGGGGGAGTGTTTACTGGCCTTTTTTTCTTTTGTGTCTTTGGTGGGATTATGTCCATATTTATTTTTTTCACTTCCTTAAAGATAACATTCAGTTGTAAAAGTCATAGCCGGTTGTTTTTCAATCTATGCATTAGCTTCAGAGACCAGGATGCAAGAATTTGGGGATACACAAGCTAGATGTCTCACTCTGCTCTTAAAATGTTGGGAATTCCATTATATGTTCTGTGCCTCATTTTCTCCCTCTGTCAAATGGGTTGTTTGGCATCCAGTCCAGCCACTAACATAAGTCACCATAACAGGTATGGATTCAAATATCATCTCAGCAGGCTGGGAACCAACCGAAGAAAACGAAGATGAAAGAGACAAACACCCCAGTTATTCTGGATCAGGCATTGATGATGATGAAGATTTTATCTCCAGTACCAGTAAGAATAATCAATTACAGTAGAACCATTTATGCAAGGCTTGATGATTAACCCGAGTGATGCCCAGGAGGGTCTATCTTGGAGAATCGTTAATGTGGAAAATGAGCATAAGCCCGTGATCACACTTTGGTTATACCTTGATAAGAGTATGAAGGAAGAAAAATGATTTCTTCTAATGGAAGCCCAAAGATATTGGGGGAAGCAATGGGGCAAATATCTTTCATAAAATTCCAAATGCCTTAGGTCCTTTCTGTTTTGTTTATTTATGTGGTTTGCTACAGCAGATTCTTCTTGAGCTTTGTCAGGGAATGACATAGTAAAACGTGACAACAGATATATATTGTGTACCTACTGGCTTGTTGCTGGGAACACAAAGATGAAAACAGCATTAACTATGGTTAATGGGAGCATTAGCATGTGATTGGGAGGTTACTGATTAAAAATTGCAGACGATTCTAAAGTGAAGACTTAGACAGCCCTAGAAAGCCTTAAAAGTTGGGAACCAGCCTTCAAGACTTGTAATCAAAACTTGGTTGAAATCAAGGGAACAAACCTAGTTGTAACAAATGAATAGGGCACCAACAGGACTGAAAGACATTGAAGGGAAGGACAAATGTCAGCTGAGCTTTAACAAAACAACACCAACTGTTAAAAACAATCGTGTTTCAATAGCGAAACCACTGAATAATATCCACATTTGTGACAGCTATAAAACTTTGTGAGAACAGAGATGGAACTTAAGCTGAATAGCATCCTTAGGAAAAAAACAGGCAATGATCACTCATATTCCGCCAGATGACTGGGTTCCCTAGACATATCCGTATGATCTAAGTATTGCTGAACAGAGATGAGACTTCTGAACTTGACTCTCTCACACAAGTCCTTAGAGAAAGTATACCTTTGCAGTGTGAAGCAGACTCTCCCAGGTCACTGAAGTCCTCTCTGTCTATTGAAACCTGAAAGTACTACCCCAAGTGGGTAGCACCCAGGAAGGGAGGAGTCCAAACAATAGCTTGGATCCTGAGGCATCAGAGTATATGGGATTGAAGCCACAAATACTCAAGAGAAATAGAGAATACTCAAGAGAACTAGATGCTTTATATCTAAGCTTGTAAGTGGTGTATTCTTTACACCTCCCTAGAGCTTGGTCCATAAAACAAGGCAACCCTTTTTAATGACTTCAGAAAGAAAACCAAAAAACCAGGAGTTTTATTTACTATTACACTGTATTGTGGGTTGAGGAAGTGGGCCCATCTTCCAGATGGGGCCATCAGTAAAGATGTGGACTTGATACTTCAGAAACTCAGCTTTCTTGGGTAGTGACCCAAACAGATCAATCTGAAAATAAACCGTGTGATCAAGCTCCTGGGGAAAACTCCCCTGGGTAGTTTTCATCTCAGTGGTTTATTTTCCAATTTCAGTTCCCTTTTCTGCTTGGTCCCTGTGCACACAATTCCACAGGATGCCTTCTTTCTTCCATAGGGCTGTGTCAGCTGCCACTTTTTCATGCTTATTGGGAATGCAGATAATTATTTGAAACCTGACCTGCTTAACTTGTGAAGTAGAACTGATAGCATTATAGTTCTGAAAACAATTTTGTATCAGTTGAGCATCAAAATTCAGTTTGAAAGAATTTGGGTGGATTTACAAATAATATTTTCACAAAAGCAATTGATCCCAATTTTGTCAGGATCCTTCTATCAGGTGCATCCCCTATGCCAGTATTGGGCTGCTGGTGGAAGGTTGCCTTTCTCTTCCGGGATGTGCTGTTAATGGTGGTTGGTTATCTATGGTGCTTTTCTACCGAATGTGTGAATCCTGTTTTTCCTTCATTGGCTGTGAATGGCTTGCTCATGAAATGCTTGGTCTTTGATGAGAATACCATAGGTGTTTGTAACTATTTGGAAATGGATAGCTGAATCATATGGCTGCCATAGGAGGATATTCTTTCTTAGAATCATCTGTAGGAAATCCATGCCTGCTGAAAGTGTTCCTTTCCCCGCCGAAACTACGAATGAAATAAAGTGATTATCACGGTATACTTTTTAGGTATCTCCCTCTTCAGCCTGAGGATCTACATGTAGCACCCTTGCCAGGGATACCAATTCCTTGGGCTTTCAAATGCACAGGGCCATTACAGACTGCATGGATGGGCAAAGCTCTGCTGTTTTTGGTGCTTCTTGGTGGAGGGCTGGTGTTTCCAAAACTGTCCTTCCTTCTGCTGCAGCTTCTTCGGCTGCTTTCTCCGGAAAAATCTCATGTTCTGACCCCAGCGTATTCTATGACGGAATGCAGAGGACACTGAGATGCTTAACAGTATGGCTGAATCAAGCTGAAGTCCTTCTCTGCTTTCCCTCCATTTCCACTCAACCATCTATACAGCCTGGTATAGATGATTCATTCACTGCATAGACTAAAGAAGGGAGACATGTGCAAAACAAGTGGTGAAGGCTCAAGAAATAACATTTCCCTAATTGCTTCAATCATCATTATCACAGTTTCAACCACACCACGGCTTTTTAACCACCCAAAACAGAACCAGGATTGGACCCGATGGAGCCCAGGCGAATCGAATCCAGGAGTATTACTTCAGACAACTACAAGGATGACTGGTAATGGGTTATGCATACTTAATTAAGGATTTTTTTCCCCCTCAAAGTCTGTGATGCTGCAAAGGTCAATCATCAGGACACAGTGGGAAATTTAGTTAATATCTCATCACAGATTCCTAACTGTCACGAGGATACTCAGATTGACCTAGGAGCCATTTATCAATCGTACCATCTGGGCTCAAGATGCTTTATGTTGCCTTATTATAAAAATGAATGCATTAAAATGGTTTATGGTGCTGCCCTTGACAAAGTAGTTAAAGTAGAATAACAGGTAATCATTAAGAAATTTCATGCCCATTGATTTTTCTCTTGGGAGAGATTGGTGGAGCCACTCAGCAGTTTTGGGCATAGATGCTCCGAGGTACTGTTTAGGCAGGGTACTATTAAATAGCATGCATTTTAATGGAAGAACAGAACGTCAAAGGTTGGTTGATAAAAAGTCACAGTGTATATAACCATCGTCACGGCAGATGTGGACAGAAGTGGCACCACTGCTAATGGAGAGAGCTGGACCCGCGAACCACACTCTACTCTCATTCACCATGAGCATCATGATGAAGAGGAGACCCAGCATTCTACAAGCACAAGTAAGGAGGATGGCGGTCAGCCATTCTGGTTTAGATGAGTTTGCGGAAGTCGTTCTGAAGAATAGGAAAGACTTTTTTTTTAGACATTAGCCACATCTTCTATTTCTATGCAGTGATCTCGTTTATCCACAGAGCACAGAAAACTGCCAAATCTATACACAAGTTTTAGAAACTGGAAGAAGCATGCTAACTTGTTGCCCAGAAGGCCAAAATGTTGAAAAAGTTAAAAATGTTTTTAATGTATCTGAGATAGGTTTTGTGTGTGTGTGTGTGTGTGTGTGTGTGTGTGTGTGTGTGTGTGTGTGTATTAGAGATTCCTAAGGGTTCCGTTTGGGTGATTTGCATGTGTTTATGGAAATGTGTGATGCAGAGTGTATCTTTCGGTGCTGAGCAGTGGGATCCAGAAAGAAAGCTTGACCAGTGCATCGATCTTTGGAATCCTTATCATCTGTGAAGATCTTTGGTGAATCTGGTTTCTGTTTTTTTTTTACATTTTGTTCCTCACTGCACTATAGAAAGGCATCCCTGGTCCCCTTGGAGGAAAGGTCAGTAGCTCATATAGACTGTATTAGAATTTCCGTGACTGTTCTTTTTCTGTTATTAAGCCTGGAGTAACTTGAGGGAAAGCTTTGATGCTGCTATTTCTATGTATGTCCAAACATCTCAGGTTTTCCAAAACAATCTCAAGTACCACTACTGGTCTGTGAGGATAAGACAAAAAAAAAAAATAGTAAGAAGTATATACTCTTCTTTCATCTCTCTCTATTGGAGACATGCCTATCATGTTTGGAATAAAAGAAGCCTTAATTTAGGATAACAGCTTGTAGCATCTTTAAAACTGTGGTTCACTGTCATTAGCCTTAGATATTCTGAACACAAAAACATAAGAAACTACCACTTAGAAACCAAAGGGAAAATGCCATAGTCTGAGGGAGGCCTTCAGATGACAAAAGAAACATTTCAGACATCAACTAGGGCATGGATTTTATGTCCTGGCCGTCGTACTGAGTATGCCCAACAGGCCTGCATCTCATTACTTATCCCAGTGGATTTTATTTTTGTGTGAGGATTATGGGCTGAGTTAACAAGAATCTTCCCATAGAAGACAGAAATGAGAAGCAGAAGTCTCTGGATTTGGAGTGGGATTCCATACCAATCCTCCTGGGAACCTAAGAGTATATCTTAGAATTTAAGACAATTTGTACTTAAAAAGCAGAAAACTACTTAAGAGGCTTGGAATTAATGAGTCCATTGTTGAAAGGTGCTGATGGGGGGCAGGAGGGGACATCATGACTGGAGCATAGTTGAAAAACCAGACGGAACAGAACCTGACAGAGGGAAAGAGAAAGCAGTAACTACAATACCAGTGCCCTTATAGGTACTTGCAACCTAAAGAGATTCTGGATGGTGACTTCGGGGCTTTATTAAAGAACATTACAATTTCTAGAAGAGAGTCACCTTCTAGAAGAGAGTCAACCTTCATATTTTATGATGGAAATCCTACACTCTGCTAATCCATATGTTGAAGACAGGAGGGGTTACTGGGTATTTAAATGATCATTATGTTTATAAAGATAGTGATAGAGTAGTGTGTGTGTGTGTGTGTGTGTGTGTGTGTGTATGCACGCACGCACAGCATGCATGTTTGTGTGCATGTGCCCACAGGCATACATTTTTCTTCTTTCTTTTCTAAAAAGTTTTGAATGGGCAGTTTATGTTTGGGTTAATTTTCCCATTTTTTGTAATTATGCCCCATGGTTTTTCTAACTTCATTATTCGTCAGGAGGTAGTTGATTTAGTCAGTGAGAGGTAAAACCGAAGATTTGGGGCATCTTCTTTCCTCCCTCTGGATAATCAGTTAACCCCAGGAATGTTATGGCCAATGCAAAGGTAAAACGAGGACACAAGTTTTATTTTTTAAAGGTTTTTCTTTTTATCAAATCACACGTATCATTTTCTAAAATTATGAAATGCAGCCAGTCTTACCGGTTGCAAAATATACTTTGCCTTGGCAAGTTTATAGACTCTCGTTTTCTTGATGAATTAAACATTTGCTATTAGTTGCTATACATGAAAATGACAGTGGCTTTCTGATTTTTCCCAAAGGCACCCTGATACATTTTATTCCATTCAATTTATTCTTTTTAAAACTGGACAATTACAACACTGAGAGGCTGGCATTTTTAGCCTGTCACACATCCCTATTGTTTACACAATGCCAAACACTGGCTAGAATAGTTTTCTTCCATTGACTTAATTTTGTTAAAAAGTAATTTTGGCAATTTTAGAAGCCACATAGACATAACGTCGTAATGTGCTGGTGCTGCAGCGTCCCAGTCATCGTCAACATCTTTCTTGCTGGACAAATCCACTGCAGGTGCATTTCCAGGGCTTGTGACCGTGGGTTACGTGACCACCACTTAAGAAGTCTTCCCACTAGGTTGATCTTGTCCTCCGCTGGTATATAATATATTCCTCCCCCCAAAATCACTGTAGCAAAGAGGTTAATTCTTTGAACACACAGTTCTCTCCAAGGCTATATGAGGCTGTGGACAACAGTAAATTAAGAGTCATACTGGGAATTCATGGACTGTGGTCTAGCCCTGACTTCGTGCCAGTCTGGCTATAGGATTTTGAGCAAGACTCCTTTGGGTCCTAGTTTTCCTATATGAAAAATGGAAGGATTGGGCCACTGATTTCTAATACCCCTTTCAGAATATGAGTGGTCTCACTCCTTGCTGCTTCCCTTTTCTATCTTTTCTCCCATGTATATATGGCCTGAAAGTAGAAAGATACATGTTGGTTAGGAAACTGAACAATAAAGGCTCACAACTGACGTCTTCTCACAGCCCAGGAAATCGCTAGTAGTACAATGGAAGAAACAGCTACCCGGAAGGAGCCGTGGGTTGAGAACGGATGGCATGGGGGATATTCCCAATCACCAAAAGAAGACTCTCATTCAACAGCAGGGACAGCTGGTCATGGATTGTTTAATAAGCAGTCTTGGGTGGAAGCTTCCTTCTTGGTTCAATGTTGAGCACCAAGGACACAGAACAGAAAGACATTGAAGGAATTGTCACAAGATGTTAAGATTCTTTAATAAATTTTGATGTGGTCAACACAGAGCCAATCCTTAGATGCTCATAACAAATCACCAAAGGAGGAATGGATAGAGTGTACAAAGGAGACAGAGAATATACCCCTTTTGTATATCACTTTCAGATCCAGTTTTGGGCATCCCCTAGTGAGATTGTAGCAGAGACTCTGATCTTCTCAAATACTCCCTTTTGTTTTGTATGGACAGCATGGCTTTATGAAATACTGGGCATGTTAGAAAGCCCTTGGTTAGAACCCCAGTGTTGGAAGAAATGGAACTAGAAGGTTTGGGAAAAATACCTCTCTGATGTCATTTAGCCCTTTTGTCATGTCTATCAGGAGCTTTCTCTTTGAAGTTATAGTGCTTTCTTCTTAGATTTACAAAAACCCACACCTTCGCTATTCCTGACTTGTGGGATCATGGAAATTGGACTCGAGTCCAGTCATCATGTCTAAGTGATGCCAGATAACTGGACGCTGCAGGCCCCTATGCATGACTCTTTGTGTGGCAGAAACATGGAAATGCCAGTGTGTGAAAGCCTCTGAATGTGAACTTGGCAGAGCTATGGATTTGGTGACTGGCCATGTGATGTGATGGTTGCTAAGGGGCTACTGTTGTACTCTTCTCTACCTATATATCTCCACTGGCTCAGAATGAAGCAATAGCATGTGCTGAATTCTTATATGTCACTCGTGCCGGGAATCCCATTGTTAGGAGGTAATGCTTCTAACGGATTCCATTCATGGTTTTGAGATGAATGGCATTTACTTTCATGTTTATCTTGTGGGAAGTTGTTACCTGATTCCTTCTCTAAATCACTACCAGCCTAATGTGCATTTCACTGGGACGTGGTCATCTCAGAATGACATCATGTGCTCAGACTTCCTCTGTTAGGGGATGGTGGCAACATGGCGTGTGGTTCAATAACTACTTCTTCATCCTCACTTGATGTCTATAAGTCATCCTGCACTCACTGCAGGAGTCATTAATGATTTTGTGTCCTCTAGTTCACCTGCTGACTGCTAGGTAAATGCACATGAACAAACTCATACCTGCTAAAACAGTCTATGTTTACACAACTTCTTTGCCCTCTATACCAGGAAGATGGTTTCATTGTCTTGTCTAGAGAATAAAGTCTTTTAAAAGGTATCAGTGTATCCCTGGCCCGATGTCAACTAACACTTTGACAATTGCTTGAACTACATGGTCACAACAGCCCCAGCCCATGACAGCCATCCAGATCAAAGAATGACAACGCCAAGTCAAGAGGACAGCTCCTGGACTTATTTCTTCGACCCAATCTCACATCCAATGGGACGAGGTCATCAAACAGAAAGATGGATGGGTAATAGCCTCTGATCTTTTCTATATATTATCTTTCTGAAAGCCACCAAATGGCTATTTAACTAGAAATGTGCCCTTGGTTTTAGAACAGTCTACTTAATAAGGAACTTGAAGTTGCTTCAAAGAGTAGTTTTTTTAGGTGGGAATGATATGTACATTCATCTGAATGGGAATTCCTGGGCTGAGACTGAAAAAATTCAGCCATAGGGGGTTAAAGATCTTAAGATGGTGAGAGTGGAGGTTATTTTCTCTGAAGAAGGAGCATTTGTTTCCCATTTCCTTTTAAGTGCAGGGTTCTAAAAAGACTGAAGTGATTGAATTCAGTGACTACTTTCATTATAGACCCAAAGATGTAACTTGTCTTTGGTAGAGAAATCTTACAGGTCAAAAACTGGTGAGTACTCAACTCAAAAATGTAACTAAAAAGCTCAGAAAACTTCCTTATTCAGTCTTGCCACATTTAGAGAGAAATAGGGTACACAGTGACTTAGGCTTTAGACCACTCTTGGCTCTCAATAACTGTTTACAAATTTAATGAATGGGCAACTTGTAGACAGGAAGGAATCCCTGTTTTCTTAAATACCACTCTTACTTACCTATAAGCAATTAAAAACAGAAATGAGAAAGAGAAAGAGAGAGAGAGAGAGAGAGGAGGGAGTAAAAAAGATACGAGTTTCAGTTCTGCAAGAATGGAAGATTGTGATTTTATTTGACCAATTTTTATATGCAAAAAGAATTCTTTCTTTACCAGAACTAATGACAGCTTTCCTGAGAGAATGTGCAGGACTTGGCTGTGGGTGGTGTCCCTCTTTTCTCAGTCCTTACTTAGCTGAAGATTCCATGTTCCTTACCGTACCCATAAGTTGAACTACTCAAGTTTTATTTTAATTATTCAATAAGATATCTTGATCACAAGAATGTAACATTCCGAAAAGAGAGATAGACAAAGAAACTCAATAGAGAAAAGTGAATTTTCGGTCCTACCATTGACTATATTATCTGGATCCAAACTGCCAAGGGCGTACATAACACAAACTATTGAAATGGGTACTAAAAACACAGTGATGAGGTCTCTTGATATTGAGTTGATCTAAATTATCTCCGAAATGAATCCCACAGTCTCTGTGGCTTCATTCCCTTAAAACACCCTATGCTGTACCCAAATATTAATGATCAGATATCTCTTAAGCTATAATTGTATTAAGTTTCTGCTAATGTGCAATTCATTATAGATACCCATTGATGCATGGGTCCACGCTCTTAAGGAACTTAAAACTTAGTGAAGGAAGGAAAACATTTATCATCAAAATATATCTAACAATACTAGACAATAAGCAATAGATGTCAGATGAATTTTGCCAACAATAAACCCAAAAATTCAGAGGACCTCCTAGAGAGTGTCTAAGAGAGGTGGATCAGATGGGTTTTTCAAAGATGGCAAAACATAGGGGCGCCTGGGTGGCTTAGTCGGTTAAGCGTCCGACTTTCGCTTGGGTCATGATCTCGCAGTTCGTGGGTTCGAGCCCCGCATCGGGCTCTGTGCTGACTGCCAGCTCAGAGCCTGGAGCCTGTTTCAGAGTCTGTGTCTCCCTCTCTCTCTGACCCTCCCCTGCTCACGCTGTCTCTCTCTCTCCTAGAAATAAATAAAAAATATTAAAAAAAAAAAAAAGATGGCAAAACATGGATAGTCAGAGAAAGGAAGTCAGGGAGTTTTTCTTTTTTTTTAGGAAGGAGACTCAGGTAAGGAGAAGCATAAAGGAAGGGAAACTGAGGAATGAGTTTTTCAGAGTCATTGGGTCCATTTGTTATAATGGAAGATGAGTTGAATGGCTAGGCTGTGGCCACTGTGCTGAGTGGTTCAAGTTCTCCATGCAAACCCAACACACACACTTACACACATGGCTGCTGGAGGCTCGAGGGTGTCCACGGTGGAAACCCACGCCAGCAAAACAGCTTCAGAATCAATATTAAGTCTCCATACTGATGAACAGAAAGAAAGTCCATTAAATTAGACATGCGAAGGACAGTACAGTTGGCTTCAACCATAGAATGGTGCATTTCTGGGAGAATAGCCATTTGGGGTTTTAATTTGGGTTAGCTAGCCTTTCCTCTTTTTGGAGACCTGGGATAATACAGTTAGCCACGTCTTGTCCTACAAAGATCTTGATTCTCTTTTCTTGTGTGTAAAGGCCGCAGTATAGATGTGAGGGCCCTGTATTCCAGTGTTTCCCACTGGAGTCATCGGGACCTGATCAAATCTCTCCGGAGGCAGCGGTGTGGGTGCACTTTGGGCGGGTGAGCCAGCAACACTGATGGTGCTTGTGGGTTGATTGGTAACTCTTTCACTGAGGACTTGCCGTTTCAGCAGCACTCTGATTTGTGACGATTACTAGATACAGGATATATCAATATGTCAGTGACATTTCTGTATCACTCAGTGTTGTACATGTTAAATTCCAAGGACACCTCATACTTGTGTTTACGGGGAGAATGATTCACTGACATCTGCTTCTTTTGTCTTGTGCCTGAATACTTCCTGTGGCCTTCCAGGAGGCAGTGTTTCATAATAATTTTATGTGTTATATGAACATTCACCTTGTGAAGCAAAAGAGGGCCAGAAGAGGGAAGAGAGCTGTAAAAAAAAAAAGAAGCTTTTGTGCCAAGTGAGGGAGATGTGATAAAATGGGGTCTGAGCGAGGGCATTTTGTCTTTTCCCTATGATCCAGATCACATGCGTCTGTAAGGGGGGCAATGTGTATGGAATGAGACAGGTGACACATAGGCTATGTTGCTGCCTTTTTGCAAGGCTTGGGAGGCACGTCATGTGCTCATTTAGAGCCCTGCCAGGCCCAGCAAAAGCAAACAAAAGTTGTACTTTTTATACACTCAGCCTTTAAGGGAAAGCCAATTACTTCTTACGATACTCGTTTGAAGAAGCAGTAATTTGTTCCAGTTCTGCAGGCATGAATCAGTATTCACTTTTTTCCCTCTTGTCTGGGTTTGAATAGTTTGTCTATAGATCCTAAACCACCCTCAGGTAGTGGGTTAGTCAATCAAGCAATAACACTGATTTAATTCCTTCAGATACGGACTCCAGCCATAGTACCACACTTGGGCCTTCTGCAGAGCCACACACACCTTTGGTGGAAGACTTGGACAGGACAGGACCTCTTTCAATGGCAACTCGTAAGGATGTAACAGCCCCTTTATTGGCTGGTGCTCCTGCTTCAGCTCTTGCTCACACTGGCCTGGACGCCGAGCTTGGCGGTCCAATGGTATAGATAGTGCTATGTGGCTTGGCCTGGCCCAGAGGATGAAAGGGACTTCGTTCCCGACTTTTTCTTGGCGGGTTCTTTAAATCTGATTTTTCCCTCATTCTTGGTGACTTCCATACTCAATGGCTTTATCTTAAGGAAAATAAACTGGTGGTGGGATTCAGCTCCACTTGATTTTCTTTCTCTAAATAGTTACTTGAGTGAAACCCAAGACCACGGCTAAGACGGTGGTTTCTGTATATTTCAACCATCTCCTTATGGTTCCCATCCTTCCTCCAGTCAAGGCAGAAGAGGTGTAGGGCTGCTTTCATGATTCTGAAAAGATAATTTGGGGCTGGATAATCGTAGAGAGTAGGGAAATCACAGCAGGCCACAGAAGAGGGGCAAGGCATGTTGTTGACAATTAACAAAGGTGACCGGACCTTGGAACAGAAGAGGAATATTTGCCAATATCTCTTCCTATTGCTAACCATCTGGTAGAAACAATGTTCAACTCCTCAAGAGTCTTAATCTCCACTATATGGATAGGGCTATCCTAGAGATCTGCCTGAAATCATTCACAATTTCTTCACAGAATACAAAAGAAACCCAGAATCTAGAAATTCATTTCACTGCTTGCTACACATAATGGGTAGAGTCCTTCATGTGAGCCCTTCTAGGCAAAGGAAAACAGCAAGCGTGTGTTAATCACCAACAATGTGTGTAGTACAGTGTTAAGTATCAAAGGAGATGGAGATAAGCCTAAGAATGGTCTTGTGTTTCCACTTTATGTCCCTGCTGACTTGTATTCTGATATCGGGATTGGGATTTGGTGAATGTCTCTCTCCTGGTTTGTAACATTTGCTTGGTGATGGACATGGCTTATGGTTGTGGTTTAGGGAATGCCTGCACCTGTAACTCAGAGGTCAGTACCTTTCATAGAAGAACACAAAAGAAATCAACTCAAAGCAATCCCAAGTGATTTCAGAGATGGGCAATGGTTCAACCTCAAATTGATATCTGTCAGTGAAGGTCCTGTGTTTGCCCAGGCAAGCGTGTGAGAATTTTAGTGGAGTGCAGTGATGAGAATCCCCACTCACACACAAGATCAAAACCTAATAGAGTAAAAATGGTAACTTTAATTTAATATTCTTTAGAAGCTACTGAAGTATTTCTTTGTGTACATTTGATCTGACTTACTTGAGCAGGTTATTCTAGATTCTAGAGCTTCTCCCTTTGTTGTCATTAGAAGTAGACTACATGCTTCCATGATATTTATTTCCGTACAGTTGTACTTCTTGAGCTGCAGTTAAGTGCTCTTGATCATTTATGGAAGCACTGGAATTCAACCATTCCTTTTCCCCTGTCTCTGTGTTCTCTGGTTTTCCTGAGCGACGTGGGCCGGGATGTTCGAGGGTGGGCAAAGTCTTGATTCAGGCTTCACTTTGGCACTTTGTCTTTGTTGATTACATTGAAAAAAGAAGTGTTTAGGAGCCACTTAAGGACAAAACAGAGTCCTGTTATACATCCCTATCAATCAGGAGAGAATGGTGTACGTGAACTATTGTATTCCTCCGCATCGACCCATGCAACCTTGCTATGGTTAGATCCTCCCTGTCAGCAGATAACAGGATTTGTTTCATGGCTCCCAATTAATGCTGGACTCATCCCTCCTTGAAACAGAACAGAGTAATACTCAGAGCTTCTCTGCATCACATGGAGGCTGGGAAGAAGATAAAGACCATCCAATGACTTCTACTCCAATATCCAGCAGTAAGGATTGTAAAGCCCGGGTTGGCTCCAACTCTTGATACAAATCAATTAATTATGGATGTGTTTTCAGTGTCTTTGGTGGAAGCGTATCAGTTGGCTGCTGCTGTGCTGTTCCTTCTGATCAGAAGGTGTGGCTGGTGATGGTTCTTTGATTTTTCTGCTTTGTAGACCTCTTAGAAGCTATTGTATCTACACTGAGTGCAGACTCTATATCATAATCGTAAAGGTCAGGTTTCTTAAGCTGTAGAATTAGTGGTGTGGTTTTAAAATGACATCTTGCTTATATATGATTTGTAAATGGTATAAAGGTCTGAATTCTATCACTCTCTATTTCCCTTTCATTAATAATATTATTTTGCCATTCATCATCTGGACATAAATCCATGGTGCTGGTGACTAAGAAGGAGTGCCCTTATGGCAACAGAAAGAATAATCGAAGCATCAGGTCTTTGGAACCTTGCATTTGCTATCCCATTTGCAGGCAGCATGATTTTACTTTTTAGTTCAGTGATGTGTTTTTTCCACTTCATCAAAGATGGGTCCAACTGAGCAAGAGCTCAAGATTATCTAGTGCCTGAATTGACATCAAGGTCACAGTTAGTTGTAGTGACATAAACCTGACTTTAATTAAATCCAGGCAGATATTGCAATGAATGACTCTTCTGGGTATGGGGATCACCAAAATCGCCTCCATCGATGTCCAGGTGGTGCCAATTGCAAAATATTGCTTCTCTTCAACAGTATAAGGAAGTGCACTGTCTTTTGCTTCGTGAATAACAAGTGGAAAGCTTTTGTCGCATTTGCACCTTCTGAAGACAAGCACCCGATAGACGGGTGGTGGCCTTACAAATGTGGGTTTATCATTGATTCCGCCTCCACGCAGATAGGACTGATGGCAAAGGTGGAAGAAGAGGTGGACATCTTCCTGAAGACTCAGCTACTTCAGTGGGAGGTTTTACTTCTCCCTCCCCAGCCACAAGGGAACACAGGACCCTCATCCCAGTGACCTCTGCTAAGACGGGGGCTCCTGAAGTCACTGAAGTTAATATTGCTGGAGATTCCAACTCTAATGTTGATCGTTTCTTTTCAGGTAACTTGGCCATTTGTTATCTGGCTTGATTTCTCTACAGAGAAACAACGTGTACTTGAAAACTATGGGGGACATTTTCTGTGTAGGCTGTGATTAGGCTGATTTGTGACATGGGCATGGCTTTTATCACAGGTCATCATTCTAATGCAAATAATGTTAGGTTTATTTTAGGTCAATAATGCTTTTATTTGTCAGTGCAATCTCCATTTATTTTTGTGACTTGGTTGTTATGGTAGAATTTCTTTCTTTGTTCTTAATCTTGTGATATACTAATTTGAACCATACGAAATCCATGTTTTTATAGGTCCTAGTAGTTAAATGTTAGCAATTTCATTTGATTCAACTAAAATATGCTACCTGTTTAGTAAGGTTTTACCCGAAATGTGAATAATGCCATATGCTAATATCTTTGCTCTGAAATTATTATCTTTGCTGGTGATGGACTAGCAAATTTTCCTTTTGGTGAAGGGTGTGTAGCTAAATCTACTGATGATTTGCACCTCAAACTTTATGATTTAATCTACTAATTATGAATAGTCATGATTTCTCTTGTTGTAATGGCAAGAAGACTAAGGATGACTTACTCAATTAAGTTAGACACAGACCTGAAAGAAGAAGACTTCTTTTTTCAAATAATGGTCTCCCCTGCTTCTCCCTCACTTTGTTCTTCCATTTGCATTAAGAAACTTCCACTGAAGGAAAGAGAACTAGAAATACGACCCCCAGCTAACAAATGAGAATTGAAATTGCTCCTCCTGGTACGCTTGCCATTCAACCATTGAATTATATTAAAGATTTGCGATTTAAAAAATAAACACACACACACATCTATCTATCTATCTATCTATCTATTTATTTACTTACTTACTTATAGCAATATCTTTCTCTCCTTCCCCCCCAAAAGAATAAATCTTAGGAGAACCTAATATATGAACCAGATGATATCTGTGAGGCTGTAACTGATATGAGAACATAAGACTCTGAATGCCATGTACTTGGATTCTTTCCTCTGGGCTGCTCACCACACAGCTTCCGGGAAAAAAGTAGTTTTTAAAAATACTTGCTTTGGTGATATTGGCACGACAAAGCTCCTTACACCCTTTGGTTCTTTTTTCACCATGGTTCTGCCCTCCGTTAAACAATCCAAGTAGCACTGTCAGTTTTGCTCCAGAGAACGGAATCTCAGAGCACTGCCTGGTTTCTCTTGGCAAAAGAAGGCCTGTGGTGCAATTGAGTGAATTTAAAGTTTAAATGGCAACTTTAACAGTGATGGTATCCTAGGGGATTATATAGCCTATTTGTGAGTAAATAAAACTCTTTCTACAAAATTGATATCCACATATTCTGAGTCCTTCTATATTCCATGGTCAGAGTTTTCTTGGTCCTCCATGGATTAAATAATTAGTAAGTGATCCGACTGTCATCCTTGGTTGGTTTCCGTCCAAACCACGTGGATAAAGCTCATTTCTTCCCATACGTTTTTCTCAGTCTTTATGCTTAACATTAAGAACAAAAACATTTGCACTTGTGATAGTGGTGGTGGTGGTAATGGTGGAGATAATGGTGGTAGTGGTGGTGGTGGTGATGGTGGAGATGATGGTGGTGGTGGCATTGGGGCTACTTGTGTTGACATTTCAGCAAATGCTATTTTCAGGTATTCTAACTAAGGAACAAAGCAATCTGATTTCTCTGTACAATCATACAAGACATTACAGGTCGCCTATTTCTCCCTTCTCAAATCAAAGAAATGGTGATGATCAGATTACCGTAATCTTCATAATGGATGACTACAGCCATTGTATGATCCCATTGTCTCTTTCTGTTATTGTTGTTTGTCTTGTTTTTGTTTTGTTGTTGCTTTGGTTTTTTTTAAGATTCCCGTGTAGTGTTGGAAATGTGTGGGGAAGAGGGGGACGAGCAGGGGTTTCCATATGCTGACTCCGTGACCTGACCTGCGGATCCAGATTTTAGAACTCACAAGCTTGTTTCAATTGAAAGCCTTTTGCTGATGGAAGATTGAGAAGATGAGATGATATTAACTCTTGGTGTTGAAAATACATATTTAATTTTTGAAAAATATTGGCTTTTTTGGGAACATATTCTAATAACCAGGTCCACATTTTTCACATATTAGCTATCCCCTTATTCCTTTTTCATTTGTCTTCTGACTTTTTCTCTAAATAAGCAGTTGAGCTTTCTCTTTGAATCTTTACATAATTCAGCACCAAGATCCTTTCCTGCACACCAAAACCATTTTCTATTTCCTGCCTCAGAGAAATCTCCTTAAACGGCTTGTGCCCTGAGCCAGAGAGTACATCCATACCCAGTGATCACATTTGTGTAATTCAAAGCATATCATCTTCATTTCAAAGACACAGTATCAACTTCCAACCTCAGACCTGAGAAGACATCATAATCTTTTTGTTAGAATATTATGGTTATTAGAGTTCTATCAAAACTACACTTCCTGTGGTCACCCTGGATGGTCTGTGCTGTCCCAGTTTCTTTAATTTTGATTAAAGCTCTCACCTACTCACCAATGGGTCAAGCAATGAACAGTGATTTGTACCATGGGGCCATTCGAGGCTCCTTTGCCATTGCTTTTTGGGGACCTTTAAAAGACTAAACTTGGCAATGGATTGTCTAATGAGGCCAAAGTGAGGAAGTGCAGATGGCAGTGTCAACTGGAACACCCAGTGATGATCCTTTTCCAATTGCTCCTTACAGAAGACCAGGACTCACCAGTTCACCCCAGTGGGAGGTCCCATACCACTCATGGATCAGAATCAGCAGGTGAGTTTGAACTGCTTTAGTAATTTACTGTTATCATCATCGAGGCCGCTGATGATTAATAAAGTATGAGTCAGTGTCTCAAGAAGAGTGTGGTTCTCAGACTTCCTTATGCATCACAATCACAGACAGTGCTTACTAAACCACACTGTTAACGAAAATATTATGATGCTAACTCCAGTACCATGGCTGAGACTTATGGTAACTGCTTTACATGGATTTCCTCGTTTAATCTTTAAAACAATGCCCTGTGACATTATTATCCCAGTCTTAATCATTAGGAAATTGAGTCTCAAATCTCTTAAGCAATATCATCAGTTAGTATATGGAGGAACTGGGATCGAGCCCAGACCATTCTGCCTCCTAAACCCATTGTTCTTAATCTGGCATAGTACAATGTTAAATTGAGACCCGGCTTGAATTCTTCCTGATCCTTCCACATGGAAGACTTTTCTCCAACGCAGTAGTTCTCAAAGTGCTGTCCCCATCCCTGCAGCATCAGCATCACCAGGAAACATACTAGAAATACAAATACTCAGGCTCTACCTCAGACCTACTGGATTGGAAACCTTAAGGATGCGTAAAGCAGTTCGCATAACCCCCAGAACATGGTACTGTAGCTAGCATTTACTGAGAATTTACTGTGTGCTAGTGGCATTCTAAACACTTCATGCATGCTAGGTCGGACCATAGGAAGCTGCCATTTTTGTAGGTCAACAACCAAATAGCCACAATGTTGTGTGGTTCATCTAATGTTACCACATTTCATCATCCTACAAACCCTGTGACTTATGTAAGTACTATTATCATCCCATATTACAAACAAGGACACTAAGACTCAGAGAGGGTAGGTCCCTTGGCTGGGTTGACATGACTGGTGAGTTGAGTGGTAGAGCCGGATTTCAAGCCTTGGGGTCTCGTAATGCCTCTGTAGGCCTGTTCTGGAGAAAGCACTCCATAATGACCATAATCACTGCCAGGCATATATTATTAAATGGATACACGTTTGCCATGACTCAGATCATACCCCTGGAAATATTACTCCAGGCAACAGAAGTCTGACATGAGGCAGGTTTGCTTGTGACCAGAAACGCTGGGACCACTGAACGGTTCTGCCAGTACCGGTGTCCCTGGTATTGTCAGTCCAGTGATCCATGAAAACCAGGTAAATCCATATGAACCATGGTCTATCCTTCGTGAAGTCGGGACCAAGGTTGTCTGCTGGCCCAAACGCTCACACACTTAAAGCAGATATGAAGATTGATATTTACATGGTGCCTTGGTAATAAGGCTTTTATGTAAGAGCACAGGATATGGGGGCTCATTAGAAATGTTTCCAAAATAAAGACCGAAGTCTCAAGCTCTCTAGGTTCCATGGGTAGGGCATTTAGCAAGTTAGCCTTTTCAAGTTTCCTTTACGTTTCCTTCTTAGTAAAAGGGGATCAGGATACCTGCCTCATTTATCTCCCAGAGTTCTAATGAAGAACATGAGGTATCAGGAAAATGAAAAAATCCTGGAAATGATAGGGAGTTATTAGTAAAACCCATGCTTTCTAAAATCAAGAGACCCTAGCTACTCTAAGTGTGGTCCTTGGACCAGCCGCTGGGATATCTCCTAGGAGCTGGTTGGAAATGCAGAGTCCCCAGCCATCCCAGACCTACTGCACAAGGCCTGCATCTTAACCTGACCTCCCCCCACACCAGGTGTGCACTGAAGTTCGAGAAGCTCTGTCCAAGACTGTTTTTCTCACAGTTGGGGCCAGTTGAACGATCTCTATGCACATGTCTCAGGTTAGATCTCCTCTCCAAATTACAGCATCAGGTGTCCCTCTTTGCTGAACTTGCTTTCCTGGCCAGTCCTACCCCAGCAGGGTTTGCACACCACTAGGGTGCAAGGTGAGGCCTGCTGTATCTCGTCCATCTTCTTTGGCTTTTGCTCGAAGTGAGAACCAGGTGGGCGGGAGCAGTCTCTTTTGTTTGACTCCTGTGCAGGTGTGTATTGTTCAAGTAGGAGGTTTCATCTTGTTGTACACACACCCCGATCTTTCCTTGCTGGGAGCACTTTTTTTGAAAGCCAAAATAAAGAGATTAAGATCCATTAGTGGCCTCTTTTTCAAATATCAAAGGCTGCCGTGAGTCAGAGAAAGACCAGCGTGAGTATCTGCACCACTTACATGGATTTCAAGCCCAGAGATCTCCAGGGTACATGGCCCACATCCTCTCACCTGTGCAGGTGAAAACCTGCCAGTGACCAAGGACTCAGCCAGGAAAAGCACCCTGGACTCCTCAAGTTTGTAAAGTACGAACGAGGCCACTGTCAAAGTGACAGGAGGTATGTTGCATGGTGAGAAGGCTAGTAAGCATTTGTTTTGTTCCATTTCGAGTTTAACGAAAGCATCGGGTTGCATAACCAGGAGTCAGCTTCTCCAACATAACCACCGTCGTCAAGATTTCACTGTCCACTGTGCACAGTCTAAAGTTTGACTGTCCGTGGAAATCTTCCTTTAATTCAAGCCTGGCCATCTTCCTGAAATGCTTAGCCAAACAGACTGCCCTGATGACTTTCTTCTCTTCCCTTGGTGGACTTGAGAATTTTGCAATGGGTCCCCCATTGGGGGGAGTTCATTTTCATGGGATATTTTCAAATTTTGTTTTGAAGCAATGGAGGAAGCATAAAAAACACAAGCAAAAAACAAAGCATTAACTTAGGTGGGTCTCTTCACCGATGCCTTAGAAGTTTCCTTTAAAACACGATGACTCCCTCATTTTGATGAGCCTCCCGTTCAGACTTGTGGATGCTTTGTCTTGTGACACTTCCTTTCAGTTGGAGCTGTTTTGTTTGTTCCTCTGTTTTGTTTTGAAGTGATAGAAAATATTTATTCTTCTGAAAAGGCATGTTTCAATAACATAATAAATAGCAGGGACTCTCCTAGGGTGATTTCCCCCAGACAGAAAGGGTCACCGTCTCCTAAACCCTTATTTTTTATTATTTATGTTTGTGTCTGTGAAGACACTGCATGCAATTGTTAGATGCTTTGGAATTTCTGGAGGTATTAAATCCTTTAAGGATCTTGTTAAGATGAAGATTCTAGTTCAATGGGGGCGAGGCCTGAAATTCTATATTCCTAGCAAGCTCTCATGTGTGACACCTATGCAGCTGGTCCAGGGACCACACTTTGAGTGGCTGGTCCAGGACCACACTTTGAGTAGCTGATCCAGGGACCACACTTTGAGTAACAAGGTCCTAAATCAGACACAGAATGGAGCCACTACACACAATTCCCATCCTTGTGCCCTTCTTTAAACCTCTGTAAATTATGGTGAAGTGGATTTTATTCTCATCCCCATTCTGTGAATGAGAAACTGAGATTTGGAATGCATAGCTTGAGTCAACAGGCATCGCTAGCAAGAGGTGGAGGTAGGAGTCGAACCCAGGGCTGCCCGGCTCAGGAGCCCAAGCTCTTAAACACTGTGCCATACCACTGGTGAGAATTCTCATGTTCTTGATGAAAATAACACTTCCGGACTTCATCCTTAATGAAACCAACGTTTCTGGGGAGATATCTTTCATGTAACACTTTATAAATGTCAGTGGCTTGAATCTATAAATAGCTCCACAGTGAGCAGAAGGTAGAGAGGTTGGCCCTGTGTGCTGTTCTGTAAGGAGCTCGTGGTCATGCATTCCAAACTCGGGTTGAGAGATGTTGTTTCTTCCCCTTAGGACACACAAGTGGGAGTCATGAAGGTAGGGCAAACACGACCTCCGGTCCTACGCGGAAACCTCAAATTCCAGGTACGTTTCAATCTATAAAGCCAAAGAAAAAAAGGAAACAAAAACACATTCTTGGGGCACCTGGGTAGCGCAGTTAGTCGAGCATCTAACTCTTGATTTCTGCTCAGGTCATGATCCCAAGTCGTAGGATCGAACCCCGAAGGCTCCACACTCAGCATAAGCCTAAGATTCTCTCTCCCTCTCCCTCTGCCCTTCCCCCGCTCACATGTGCACTCTCTCTCTAAAAAAAAAAAAAAAAAAAAAAAGAAAAGAAAAGCATATTCTTTGTAAGCTAAAGGGTGAATGAGAGTACTTAGTAGGAAAGAATGAAACTTTCTTTTCTCTGGGCCCCATAAATTGAATGAGCTAATATTCAGAACAGTCCCTGCCTATCCCAAAGAAGTAGCATGTTAGTTAACTAATGCTTCCTTACCAAATGACAGACTCTCGGACTTTATGCTGTACCCAGATCCTTCCCATCCCAGCCATTTCCCCTTGATTTCTGGGTTGGTGGTAAAGCATGAAGCCTTCCTCTCACACTGCAGACAGTGAGGGGATATAAGGGCCATGTGTGTGGGGTGGAGTAAAGACATTTTTCCGATCCCCAAACTGCTTCTTTTCAAGGGACAGTCTTTACAGATCCAGACAGAAGAAAGTGTCTAAATGAGTCACATTGCGCGGTGAGGTGGCTGGGACACCCGATTCTCCTGAACTTCAAGATTTAAGTCACTTGAAGCAAAATCTTTATTTGACTTGGGCTCAAAACTGAGCATTTCTAAGGCGGGGTTTGTGGGAGAGGTAGATTACAAAGAAGAAAGGGTTTTCCTAGGGTTGTAAATTCTCTTTTTAACCTTCCCCTCTTCAGAGGCCTCCAAGTGGAGTCTCCCTCGGGGAAAGGGAAGAATGTAGGAAGCACCTCACCCCCTTGCCTCGGCTTGCCTGAGCACAGCTGAGAGAGGAGAAAGTGGAGGGAGAGAGGGAGTGGGCTGCAAGGGCCGTGGGGGTGGGGATCTGCAATTTGCAGTAGCCTAGCTAGGGCGAATGTGAGGCTTCCCAGAGAAAAGACCAGAGAAAAGAACCCCCTGTTGGCCTCCCCGCCTCCTGACTCCACCTTCCTCCCCAAAGCCACCTAACCAGGTGGCAGTCAAGCAGAGGAGTCCAAGGAGGAAAACCAAGACTCTCAAAGACGAACGGACAATTGATGACTCCTCACCCTTCTTGCTTCTTGAGCTCGAGCTCATTGCACGGACACACAACCCACTTGGCAAGAGAATTGATTCAAGTTGTCACGTGTTTGTGCCATTAAAGCTTGATTTTGAGACCCATATATAAGGCTTTGGTGGCCCACAAGTGACACAGGACTACTGGAGACATTTTAGAAAATTCACACCAAAGGACAAAAATATAAATCATTTCTTATCTACCTCGCCATCCAGAAATATGGTTACTGTTTTCACTTATGTCCTTACCAGCATTTAAAAATGTAATTTCTACACAAAAATGTAATTACAGCATGTGTGCTGTGCAGTAAGTCGCCACTCCCAGCTGGTTGCCCATCAGGTTTCCAGTGTCATTAAATATCTTTCTCCAGTTATCACAGCCCAGAATACAGTGCGCATACCCTCATTAATTGATCACTTACTATTACTTTATTTTTGTAAATTTTTTAATGTTTTATTTATTTCTGAGAGAGAGAGAGAGTGTGAGAAGAGGAAGGTCAGAGAGAGAGGGAGACACAGAATCTGAAGCAGGCTCCAGGCTGTGAGGTAGCTGTCAGCACAGAGCCCTACATGGGGCTTGAACCCACGAACCATGAGATCATGACCTGAGCCGAAGTCGGACACTTAACCAACTGAGCCACCCAGGCACCCACCCTTACTATTATTTTAGGTCGTTTCCAACTTGCACTATTATAAACATCTTCATAACTAATACTGAGGTGCTATAAATTCCAGGGAGTGTGACTGCTGGCTTGAAAGTAGGCGCATTTGGAAGGACGAGTTTTGCCTAATCACCACCCCGCTCCGTTGAATGTGCATAAGTTCAGACCTCCGCGGGTGTCCTTTTTCCACCCATTAAGTACATGGTCCCCTTTTTGTTTCTTCATAAAATGTAAGGTGGATATTCTTATATAAGAGAAAAATGTTCCTTTCAAGGGAAACCTTTCAGGACATGTCCTTTAGTCTGCATAATAATATCACACAGAAGGCATTACACAGAAGTTTCTGCAGGCCATTCTATGATTTTTTGGACATTCACCTCTTCTGGAGGAACTTGAAAATTCTGACTGGAGATAGAAGTTTAAAACAAGAGGCCTGTTGGGCAGACACCTATAGCAGCATTGTTCTAGTATCATCGGCCAGTTGGCGGGGCCGTTTGGCCAGACTCATCTGTGGTGCTGAGTGTAGTTCTTGTTTGGACCAGGTCAATTTATCAAGTGCATTTTTGTTTTTATGAAGTGTATTTCCTAAGCTCACAGGTGTCTTTTGGTTCACTCTCACCAGAATGGCTCATCATCTTGGCCTCCCTCCTGGCCTTGGCTTTGATTCTTGCCGTCTGCATTGCTGTCAACAGTCGAAGAAGGTAAGGGGATGCACCTTGGGGCCTTTGAAAGGACGTCACATAAATGCTGGGCTTTATGTCCTCACTATTCAGAGTGTAGCGACTGGATCCAGGGACCGCAACACTCTGGGATCTTGCTAGAAATGCAGAATCTTGGGCCCTACCCAGATGTCTTGTATCAGAGTCTGTGTTTTGACAAGATCCCAGGGATTCCTGCACACTTTAAGAAGCCTGCTTTTGCACGTTCTTTAGATAAAACAGACACTGTGATTATTTGGACCACCACTTCTAAATTGTGTGGAATCTTTTGAGATTCTTAATTTTTCAGGGTTAAACCCTTGAGGATTCCATCTGATGAAAGTTATAAAATATCTCACTGGGAACGCATAAGAGTATGTACTCATTCATTGATTGATTAAACAATACTTAGTAAGTGCATCCACATTGCAAAACTCACTGTATAAAGATCTAGGAATTGGTTATCTTCTTTAGCCTGTCTAAAGCCCACGGAACCTTCTAGAACGCTCACCTAAAATAGGCATTGGATTTCTGTGATTTTTTTTATTGTTTTTGTTTTTGTTGTGGTGGTTGTTATTTATAATGATACCATTTTCTATTTTCTGGGAACTATAGTTGAAAGGATTTGGGTGATTGAGTAGGAAGAGCTCCCCCGACATTCTATGAAATGATGAAGAATTTTCCTTAAAAACATCTGAATAAAGACAATCAAACAGCATGTGGGCTGTTTGCGTATCCTCAGAGGTCCCTCTCTCTCCCTAACTCAACCAAGGCCTCTCACGCTGGAAGTTATTTAAATAATACACATACCTGATTGAGCTGTGACCAGGCTCCAGAAATAACCACCTAAAGTGAAATGAAGGAATATAGTCATTCTAGCAAAATTCAGGACATGAATTTTGACAGGGTACATAATACCCTGTAAGTACAAGTCTAAATTTCCTGCTCAAGATGCTCTAAAGATGCATTATTTTCCCCTGGTCATATGTAGAGGAACATTAAACTTTCTGTAAATGTCCCTTGAGATTGCTCCTTATATGGTATAAGAATCTTATTTCCAAGTACAGCTGCCTTTATTATATCACTAGATCATCTAACAGGCCAGAAAATGCCCCTAGCTTGGGTAGAAGACCTGGAGAAAATGCTAGAATGTAAAGCAACAAATAGCTTATCCAATTGCCATGTGCAGCCTATGCAGTATCTCTGTCTGAGGAAATCAAATAATGTCACCCTACCCTGGTACAAGTTCATAAAAGCGCTATATTAAAGTCAATAGCTGTTTCTATCTGTACCTTTGAGAGAATAATAACAAAAATTACTCACGATAGCCAATTGTATAAGGAACAAACACTAGGGGGAAAAAAAAACCCGAAAAGACCTCCTAGAAGCCTCTCCTGACTAAATGGAAAGAGATTTGGTGTGCTGAATTTGAATAATGTGACTTGAGGGAGCCCTTACAAAGAGTCTTTATGCTCTCCCTCAGCCTTCGTGTTTTCTCTTAGATTACTTTTGCTCAATTAAAGATGAATTTCCCATTGTTGGAAATGAGTCCTTTTGTTCCAGGGCCTAGACTGGACCCCTTCTGCTCACATACACACATATACAGCTTTGCGCGTGTCTCCATGGAAACGCCGCCCCAGATGCTGTCCATGTGGGAGATTCCTCAGAGACACATCTCAGCTGTCTCCGAGAGCAGCTGGAGGCCGTGCATGGGGGCTGGCCAGCTCACATGTCTCTCCCATCATGTCAGCTGCAGAAAGGGGCCCCTCGGCTGCCCTTCCCCTCGTCCCAAGACCAGTAGTCACCCTAGCAACAGGCAAACAGGGACACGCGGGATCCGGCACAGCGAGTATCTCACCGGGAAAGTAGCTGCTTGGACCCGTAAATTACTATGTCCTGATTTGATAATCTAAACCAGATTTGCCACGCAGCTAGAGGGTGGTTAACGGCTGCACGGGCCCCTTAATGTGTGCTGAGTTTCTAAAGCCTCAAGTCCATTTCTAATCCTCTTAAAAGGCTGGGGCCTTTCTGCTTTGAACGTTGCATTTTAGAGAAAGCCAGAATCCTGTTTTCATCAAAGAAAGTCTGGTGGAAAATAAAGGCCTGTGACAGGCTTCTGTGTATTCAGCAGATACCTTTAGAGTAGCTCCTATGACAGGGTGCTAGCGAGGAAGAGAAGACTAAAAGCTGAAAGGGCAAAGGGCGCCATCCCGTTCCAGAGAACCTTAAGGTTTAGCAGCTGTATTGCCTTGCTGGGTCTGAGTCAGCTGACTGAGAACATACCATGTGCCAGGTCCAGGTGTATGAATTTTGGTTAAAAGATGAAAGTGGAAAAGCAGTTACTGACATTGGCCTGCCAGAGTTGATCACGGGCCTCCATGACAAAGTGATCCATGGGTCACGCCTCCTGAAGATGCCAGTTTAGGGGTCCTAATTAGTTCTTCAGCTTTTCCCACCCCCACATCCTCTTTCCTTGCTGTTGCTCGTGTAACCGGACTCCTTGAATATCGGCTTTCCAATGGAAATCCTACTTCATTTTCCTTAAGAGCAAACAATTGTTTGAGGAGTCAGTTGGGTTGATAGATATTGGATGGGGCCCAACAGAAGTTAGGTGTCTTTCTCTTAAAGAATTGATCTGACATGTATGAAGAGGAGGGAAAGAAATAAGAGGCCCTTACAAGACAAGGTTTCTCAAAACAGAAATGATTCAAGGATGATTGTCTCCGGACTGTGCAGAAAAGGCCTTCACCGGCTGTCAGCATCATGGGACTAACCACCTTCTCTGTAAAACCCAGAGGCCAGTAGGTCCCCTCTAGAAAGCTCCATGGTTTAGAAATGCCTTCCTTCTCTCAGGCTACAGGCAAGCGCATTGCAGTCTGCATCCACACAGCCTCGTTCTGTCCTCGGTAACAAAGTTGTCCAATGAAACTTCCAGTAATGATGCAAATGTTCTACATCTGCCCTGACACATGACCACTAACCACTGGTGGCTCCTAAGCACTTGAAATGTGTCTAGTTTGAAGAGTGAATTTTTAACCTTGTTTACTTTCAATTGGTTTTAAATTTAAGTAGCCACCGTTAGCTAGTGGCTACCATATTGAATGTCACAGCACTAAGACAAGGTGAAATAAATCTCTAAATATCTTTAAGGTCTGTCAGGTGGAAGAGACATAAGAACAGTTGTTAAGTTACTCCCCTGAATCTTTCAGGATAAATTCCTCCATGCCCTAAATGCGTGTTACCTGGGTTCTCACTCCACCCAGCCTGTCCACTGTCTCCTGGTAAGACCCAAGTATGGCTCCTTTCACATCTCGTGGTCACTGTTTGGTCAGTGGATTGATGCCTGAGATTTAAGGAGAGGGAAGATGAGGGTGAGGATGCAATTCTGTAGAGATCTCTGACCTTTACGGTCAGAAAATCTAAGTTGCAGATACTCTGTTTGCTGCTGTACCTAGTGGTGTAGCCTCAGACGATACCCTTGACTTCTTGGACTCAGTCTCTGGTTTACCTAATGAAGGGGTTGGGCTGGATGACCTCTGAAGTCCCCTCAGCTCCAGTGTTCTTTCTGAAATAGAACTAAGAATGAAAAAATTAGAACTTGTCTTTTTAGAGTACTTACTAATGCTTCTGAGTTGGTGAACAGTGGAGATTTTGAGAGAATGGCATTCTTAGGGAGGCACGGAAGTGCCCACCCTTTTCCCAAACCTCGCCCTATGCAGTCTCCCATCAGGCTTCTGCGTTCCATCCTTCTGAAATAAACCGGTGATGTAGTAAGTTTTTAAAAAAGGACTAGTTATTTATGAGAATCATCCTGTCCTCCTGGAAGAACTCAGATAACAGAGCCACATAAATCAAGGGAAACGAGGGACAGAACAGACACAAGCACAATATTTCTGAGCCCTACAGCTCTGGTGTTACCCACTTTTAAAATCAGCTTTGTTTAGGGGCACCTGGGTGGCTCAGTTGGTTGAGTGTCTGACTTTGGCTCAAGTCATGATCTCACGGTTCATGGGTTTGAATCCTGCATCAGGCTCTCTGCTGTCAGCATAAAGCTTGCTTTGGTTCCTATTGTCCCTACCCACCTCTCTGCCCCTCCCCAGCTCATTCTCTCTCTCCCTCTCCCTCTCTCTCTAATAAATAAATAAATCAGCTTTGTTTAGACTAACTAACATGAATCCTTAACTCCCACCCATGCACCGTTTTTTACAATTATTAATCACTTTCCTACAATATTTGATTCAACTTCAAAATCACCCATTAGGTCAGCAAATGGGAATTGCTTTAATTAGACACCTTCCCTCCAAAGAGCACCTGAGATACCAGTGGAGAACTGAAAATAATGCAAGCAGACTCCCACCTTCAGCCCTCTGGGTCGCTTCAGAGTAAATATAACAACTAGGCGGAGGCAGCCAGAAGAAACAAGTAAAACCCAGACTCATATGGCTCTGGTTATATGAACAGCGACAGCCAGGGCTTCTCGAAAATTTTCTGTGTTCCAGATTCTGTCCTAAGTGTTTATCCAAGGCCTTAGCTTCCTCGCCTATTTAGTAAGAGCAACAAATAATAACAATAAGGGACTCGTGCATCAATGCTGGGCTTTGTTTCAAAAGCTTTCCACAAACCTGTGAAATTGGTACTCTTAACAGCCTGCTATTACTGTTAAGAAAACTGAAGCTCAGAGAGGTTAAATGAGCTGCCCCAGGTCACATAGCAAGAAGGTCTCAAAATCAAGCCCCTACCCTTGTGTATGTGGACTGCACAAGGCCCAGCCCCACAGATTTGCTCCAAAGTCCAAGCAACCCTCCCTCTGCCCCTCGTCAAGCACACATCATGCCAGAGGAGACAGGATCTACCTCCTGTTGAGAAGGTATAATTTCTATTTCCCCAAATAAGAGATTAAAGTTTATGGCCTTGGCAGTTCTAGAGGGAGTGGCCCATGATCATGAATAATAGAGGCTTTGTCTGTACAACTCCAAACCTCCAGCGGCAAAGTGAACAATTCCGACTTCATACTCTTTCCAAATCTCCAGATGGTTGGCAGCATGAATAGAGCTGGGCAGAGCCCAGGCTTCTGGTCATAAAGGCGTAGATTTGAATATTGACTCTGTCTGTCTTACTAGCTATGTGACCTTAGGCTAGTTATTAAACGTCCCTGGACCTCAGTTTCCACTGCTGTGTAACTAGAATAACAGCTGCATTGCGGGATTATTGAGAGGACTTTATGAAATTTTATGTAAAGCGCCTGGCATTCAGGAGGTGTCCAATAAATGCTAACCTGCTGCCCCTCATCCCCACCCCACTTGTAGTTGTGAGGCTCTGCAACTTGGCTTCCATCAAGCAATCTGACTTCTAGATGTGCAGCAGGGATCGTGTTACAGGAAAGAGGGAGTATTGCATCAGGCTGGGTGGGGAAGGAAATGCTACAACAACGCTATGACCCAGGGACATGATCAAGGTCATGCTCTTCCATACTAGACCTCCTGCATTCAAATCTTAAGTCATGTTACTGAGAACCCTCGCGGCAACAGTGAACAGCTTGCCTTATGTAGTTAAGCCTCTTGTGTCCAGGGTTATGTGGAAGTTACCCAATGTTAACCAGTGAAAATCAATACGGCCTTACACTTCTAGAAAAATGTTGCATTTTTCTAAGTCCATGCAGTCAGAACCCTGGTGAGCAAAGTGTCGCTGGGGAGAGGAAGTAAATGGACTTGGTTGAATACACAAATCAGAATGATTTATAGTCATCACGTTTGTGGTTCATCGAAGTCTGCTGAAGTTGCTAGAGTGCCTAAAAAAGGCAAATGTTGCCATCGTGTAGGATGGAGAAGGGGAGTTAGAACTTAGGAGTCAGACACAGAAGGGCCGGAGTCCCAATTCTTTTATTACTGAATAACTAGGGCAATTTACTGAATTTTCTGAGCCTCAGGATCTCTTCACCTGCAAGAGGGGAACAATACTAGCACTGGCTTCCCAGAGCCGTGACCACAGATTTTCGAACTCAGGTGTGCATCAGATCCCCCCTTGCGGGCTTCTTAAACCACAGATATTAAACCCACTCCTGGAGTTCTCTGATTCAGTGCATCTGGTGTCAGGCTGATTATTTGCTTTTCTAATAAGCCCACAGGGGATGCTTTTGCTGCTGGTTTAAGGACTCACGTTGAGAAGCATGGATGGTCAAGAGTCAGTAACATGAAACATGCTAGGACCATCGACAATTGTGATGGTGATGGTGGTGACGACAACAATGGTGGCTTGAGTCGTAGCACCTTCTCACGTGATTTTTTAAATCACTAGGTGCGGGCAGAAGAAAAAGCTGGTGATCAACAACGGTAATGGAGCAATGGAAGAGAGAAAGGCAAGCGGACTCAATGGAGAGGCCAGCAAGTCTCAGGAGATGGTGCACTTGGTGAACAAGGAGTCCTCGGTGACCTCTGATCAGTATATGACAGCCGATGAGACCCGGAACCTGCAGAATGTGGACATGAAGATTGGGGTGTAACACCTACGCCGAGGTGACCTTGGAAAGAAATGGCAATTGGAGACGTAACCAATTCAAGGAGCTGGGACACTTCACAGATGCAATGTGCTACTGATTGTTTCATTGGGGATATTTTTTTAGTATAAAATTTTCTACTCCTTTTTTGGTTTTTGTGTTTTGTTTTTTTTTGAAGTCGGGTCCAATGTATAAAAATAGCATTGCTTTCTGAAATGAGGGCCCAGTTAATAATCCACAAAAATTTGACTGTTCCAGTTCCCACCTAGAAGCCTCCATCCCCCTAGCGCATGCTATGGATGGCTTCTAACAAAAGCCACAAATACATCTTCCTGATCCCCATTCTACCTTCCACTCCCCCTCCCAGGCAACAGCCACCTGCTAAGGACATCCCTCAGGGCTAAGGGGATTGGTCCCTGGGAGGAAATTTGGGTCCTTATCCCCCTCTCCTGCAGCCCATTCCCTGGGCATTTCTTTCCAGTGGGGTAGGGGGTCAGAATGTACTGGTTACACATCCCCTTCTACAGACCCCCCCTGGAAATTTTTCAGATGCTTCTGGGGAAATACCCAAAAGGTGAAGCTATTTATCTGTAGGAAGCTATTTATCTGTGTTTTTGAAATATTAAACCCTGGAGGTCCTTTGATCAGTATGGTTTTTTTTTTTTTTTTTTTTTTTGGTTACTTTGTCAGAGGCATAAAGGGTTTCAGCTGTTCATAATAAACATCTATACTTCTTCCACCATAACCCTTTGTGCTGTGATCCTTTAGGTTTTTTTAACCAGCAAGGTCTGGTTCTCATAAACTCATCAGAAAGATGTGAGAAGGTCCTCCTTGAAAGTCTTCATCTCAGAGCCACTAAGCCCCCATTCAGGTTCAATCAACCAAATCTCAAGGAACATCAAAGAAGACAGTGCTCTGTTATTTCTGAGGCTCCAAAAACTTTCTCCTGTCTGAGCATTAGAATTAGGAAAGGAGGAGCTTCAGTTGCCTTTATGTTTTAATGGCCATCAGTTCTCTGCCCTGAAAAGGCTGTGAAAAGTGACATTACATCACATGATCTACCATTTGTGGCACCCCATTTCATAGACACCCTGCCAAGTGATGTCCAAAAGCAATATGGAAGTATCTTTTGATCTCTTATAGTAAAAAGAGAGGTCAATGGACATGAAAGAGAGTATAGACAGTCGCCAGCTGATTAGCACAGGTTGGGGAAGAAGGGAGGGAGTTGTGTAGATCCTGTTTGAGTATTTTTATGACTGTTATTTGTTTATACTCTAACAATCCAGTTGTCTGCCCCTGATGCAGTTACAACTCATGATAAGTCAAGTGCCTGGGAAGTTGCTTACAAGGTTACAGGGCTTCCCACCATTGGAATATTAGCACTAGATAGGCAGGTGTGTGACCACATAGGACAATAATAGGGATTTTTTCTTGCTTGGTGGTCTTTATTCATAAGTTCAGAAGGTCTCATTGGTCCTGGAACTTCCAAAGGTGATTTGTAATAGAAGAAATTGAATCTATAAAGTAAGGGCTTTTATAAAATGGGACCTCTTGCCTTATGCTCCCACAGAAAGTCATCTGTTGTGTAAATTGATATGTTTAACTGGCAACGTTTCTAAGACAGAAAGGGAGAGAGAATGAGAGAGAGAGAAGAGAAGAAGAAGAAGAAGAGGAAGAGGAACAGGAGGAAGAGGGGGGAGGAGGAAGGGGAGGAGGGAGAGGAAGGAGAGGAAGGAGAAGAAAATAGCTTCCACATAAGTCAGGGCTGGATTTATACGCGGGGTGATTATGAAGGATCTATTTTTAAAAGCGATGCCCACTTCCTGCACTCATTTCCGATTTCCATTCTCCCTTCTCCCATGTGAACATAATCGGTCAGTTCCATATACAGCTGTCTGGTTTTCTTTTTATCTTCAAGTTGGAAGAAAAGAAACAGACATATAGCCACTCTGTTGTCGCAGCCACTAGTGTTCAAGTGCTCCCTGCTTTCCAAAAGCACAGTCTTCAGACAGGTTCACCCCATCTCTTTAGCCACTCCAGGATCAGGTGCAGGAAAGCTACAGCTGGCTCTACCTGTTCCCACATTCTCTTCAGACCGTGGAGAGTGTTAAAAGTCTCACAGCTAGAGATGGTTTTCCTTTTCCAGATCTTTCCAACAAATAGGCTAAGAAAAGCAATTGTTTTCTATTTCATTTTAGAATTAAATATGATCTTTTCTTTTATTATTATTGTATTCCTTACTTGGGTTTACTTCTGTGTTTTCAAGCTAGGAATGGGATAGGTCTAGAGCTTTCATTCCTTGGCTTCAATACCCCTGCGATATTGCCTGAAGTTGTGGAATACGATATATTCTCTCCCATTAAGCTGAGAGCTTAAGATGCAATTTTTCCTACAATTGTAAATCTACTGTGTCTCCTGGGAGCTGCCTTTAAATTAACACTGGGTGAAAAATACAATGGGACACCTTAATATCCACATTTTGCAGTTTCTAGCCTGGCTGAATGGATTTCTCCAGCAGAACATCTCAAAGTTTTACACTGAGACTATGATGCCAAGAATTGATTACGTAGCCAATGTTTATTCAATGCTGGTACAGCAGAGGAGGGAGAGAAAGGAATCTCTGACTTCTCTAGAAATATCAAGTGTACTTAAGAATAATGGGGTCCATTCAACTTCATGTAATAGGTATGCCCTTTTATACATTGTTTGTGTTGCATTTTAGAAGAATAGCTCGTTGTTCATGCATGTACAGTGACCATTGTAACTTTGATTTTTCACAGCACACCCTTCCACTGATTTTTGTATATTTATTGATGGACAAGTAGTAATGAGGAAAGCATATGTATATTGCCCAGTTGAAAGCACTTATTGGAAAATACTAAAAGGCTACTATTAAAAGGCTAAACGAAATGGACTCAGGATTCTCTGATTTAAAGGGAATGGACATCTGGGAGGGGCAAAGCTGTGATTATCTGGCTGTCTGAGTAATTTAGAACCACCAGGCTAAAAGTGTTGAAGTGACCGAAGCTGTATACTCATCTTATTTTTTCTAAAAAGAAAAATCAATTATGTGGACTTCTATCACTCGAGGGTCTCCTTCTGGAGAAAGTTCAATTTTCTATAGTAAGTGTGTGGCCCATATATATCTCACACTAAACAAGATATCATAATGTATTAGTTCTTTAAACACTGAGATCTACTCCTGGATTTCCAGATAGAGAGAATAGTGAATACACTCACTTCCATTTTCTCATGCAGGCCTCTGAAAAATCGATAAAGAGATATTCCAGAGTAAGCCAATGGGATCAAAGAGAATGGAAGAAGAGACAATAGGAACAAAAATCTGAAGCTGGAAAGTGACAGTTCATTAGTAACTGCGCAAATTTGGAGAAGGTAAATCCTAAGCCAGCAGTGGGGATGTTGAGACTCAACCAGATTTGTGAAGCAGAACTCCTCTCCCTTGACAAAGTTTCAGAAACTGGAAGCATTAGCCCCCTCTGGAATGTGCTAGAGAAGATGGAGCTAAAGTTAGGAGGGTGGGTTTAAAGTCTATTCTAGATGCAGTTATAACCCCAGATCTCCCTCTTCGCTCAAAGTACCTGAGTGACTATTTTTTCCCAGTCCCAACTAATGACTAGAAGATTATTCTCTCAAGAGGGAAAAATAGAGTCTCTGAGGGGCAACAAGGCATATCTAGTTGAAATTAGAATGCCATAGTGAGAAGTGAAAACACGTATAAGCAGTGTTGGGACTTGCAGCCTTCTCTCCCAGCTTGGCTTCCAGAATGCCAGCAGCCAACCATCAGCCAGAAGTTCAGTATTTCTGGGGAATCTGATAAGCCTGAGAGAAAACACTAAAGATACTAACATGAGCATTCCCACAAGGAAATGGCTCAGCAAAGCAAGCTACGCTGAGATCACATCTCATGTCATGCCAGGCACATGGGGCTTTTAGTTTCCTGTGGATTCCTCTTACACATCAGAATTAGAGATAATTTACAGAGAAGAAAACTTTAAAAAAACATCATTAATAACCTGTTGAGATAAGAGGAGATATTGTATCAACCAAACAAGAGCACAATGCTAGGATAAAAAGGAACATGGAGGACCACCTACAAAAAAGAAGCTCCTTAAAATTGAAACTCTAAAGTACCCATTAAAAAATAAACTCAATAGAAGGTTTGGAAAATAATGTGGAAAAAATATCCCAGAAAATAGGAGCAAAGGCAAAGCAAACAGGAGAAAAGATAAAAATAGAGAACATTCTAGAAAATCTAATATGCAAACAATAGGAGTTGCAGAAAGAGAAAACAGAAAGTGAAGAGAAAGATTTTTTTTTAAGTTTTATTTATTTATTTTGAGAGAGAGCGAGAGAGCGAGCGAGTGAGCACAAGCAAAGGAGGGGCAGAGAGAGAGGGAGCAAGGGAATCCCAAGCAGGCTCCGCACTGGCAGCACAGAGCCTGATGCTGGGCTTGAACCCACAAATTGAGCCAGAACCAAGAGTCAGATGCTCAACTGACTAAGCCATCCAGGTGCTCTGAAGAGACAGAATTCATTCAAGAGTAAATCAAGTTTCCCAGAATTGAAAAACATGAGGAGCACCTGGGTGGCTTAGTCGGTTAAGCGTCTGACTTCAGCTCAGGTCATGATCTCACAGTCTGTGAGTTCGAGCCCCATGTCGAGCTCTGTGCTGACAGCTCAGAGCCTGGAGCCTGCTTCAGATTCTGTGTCTCCTCTCTGCTCCTCCCCCGCTCACATTCTGCCTCTCTCTCTCTTTTCCTCTCTCTCTCTCAAAAGTAATCAAACATTTAAAAAAAGAAAAACATGAATATCTAGATTAAAAGGACCAAGTAAGTGCTCGGCACAATGGATGAAAATAGACTCACACTAAAACACATCATCTTAAAGATTCATCACAATTGGGGCAAAGAGATTATTCTGTAAGCTTCTAGAGAGGGAAAATTGATAATACAGAGGATTAAGAATCAGAATAGAATCGGACTTCTCAACAGCCACATAGAACACTTGAAACAGTGCCCTCAAAATTCTGAGAGAAATATTCCCCAGCTAGAACTCTAATTTAGATAAACCACAAATTAAGTGAAAGGATAGAATGAAGGCGTTTCAAATATGCATTGTCTCCAAACCAGTTCACCCATTTTCAGGCAACTCCCACAGGATGTACTCCATCAAAACAAGGGAGTTACCAAGAAAGAGGAAGGCATGAGATTCAGAAAGCAAAGCAAAGGGAATTCCTAAAATGATGAAAAAGGGAGATCCCAGGATGTTAGCCATACAGCAGATCTAGGGGAAATAGTGGGGGAGGGGGAGAGAGGCAAACCATAAGAGACTCTTGAATGCTGAGAACAAACTGAGGAATGATGGGTGTGGGGGGGAGGGGGGAGATGGGCATGGAGGAGGGCCCTTGTGGGGATGAGCACTGGGTGTTATATGGAAACCAACTTGACAATAAACTATTTGTTAAATAAATAAATAAATAAATAAAAATAAAAGCAGCTGGGACATTGAAAAACCACTCCAAATGCAGTAACTTAAAATAGCAAACATTTATTTTTCATAGGTCTGCCCATTGACTGGGTGCTTCCTTTTTTTAAAAAAAAATTTAATATTTATTTTTGAGAGAGAGCAAGCGCAAGCTGGAGAGGGGCAGAGAGAGAAAGAGACCCAGAATCTGAAGCAGGCTCCAGGCTCCAAGCTGTCAGCACAGAGCCCAACATGAGGCTCAAACCCACGAACCATGAGATCATGACCTAACTCAAAGTCGGAAGCTTAACCGACTGAGCCACCCAGGCGCCCCTTGACTAGGTGCTTCTTACTGATCTGGGCAGAGCTCAAATGAGCATGATTGTACTCCCACACGTGTCTGTGGTTAACAAACAGGTCAGCTAGAATCTTTGATGGCTCCACCTGGGATGGCTGGGAAGTTGAGGGAATTCTCTTCCTATGTGTCCCTCACATGCCCCCAGCTGCCTAATCTAGGCTCAGCAGGGATCCAAGTGATGGTAGCTGCCCACAAGTCTTCTAGAGGCCTAGACCCAGAACTGGCTCTCTACCATTCTACAATGTACTATTGACCAAACAGATCACAAGAGCCATCCACATTTGAAGGATGGGAAATAGATTTTACCCCTTACCGGGAGGCACTGCAAAGGCACATTGCAAAAAGTGAGGTTATAAGCAGGCCAGTGATCAGGGTAGTTAGTGTAATCAATCTATGACGGATATGTTGAAAGGTTCTTGTGCTTGAAGGAACCTCTTATGTTTATGCTTAAGTAAACACACCATTTTGGCTATGTTGGCTATAGCATTAATTTAGAAAACCATAAACAGCTTCATAAATGCCATGGTTATTGGAAAAGGAAGGGGCAGGATCCTGTGTAAATATATGTTCCAGAGATTGCCTGATACAGTAGAAAAAGCATGAGCTTTTGAATCAGACAAACCTGGATTTTAATATTGATTCTACCCTTAACTGTGCAACCCTGTTCATACATCTTAAGTAATTTGAGTCTTAGGGGCACCCGGGTGGCTCAGTCAGTTAAGCATCTGACTCTTGATTTTGGCCTAGGTCATGATCTCATGGTTCATGTGTTCGAGCCCAAGTCAGGCTCTGCGATGACAGTGTGGAATTTTCTTGGGATTTCTCTCCCTCTCTCTATACCCCTTCTCTGCTCTCTCTCTCTCAAAAATAGATAAACATTAAATAATTTGAGTTTTGGTTTGCTTTTCTGTAAAAGAAGGACAATAAAACCTTCATAGGGCCACTATAAGGATTAAACCAGGTAATGATAGTACATGGCAACACCTGGTAAATATCAGGTCCTCAAAAATATTAGTTCCTAGGTGAATGCAAATTCATCTCCCTCATGCATACAGCAGTTACTTAACTTCTCTCTTCATCACCCCCTCCAGTTTCCTGAATGCTAATCAGCTTTTAAGCTATTAAATTAGGGTGCCTGGAACCAGAATATATTGGAATCCAAGGCTCTTTGATTTATTTTATTTTTTTTTAATGTTTTATTTATTTCTAGGAGAGAGAGAGAGACAGCGTGAGCAGGGGAGGGTCAGAGAGAGAGGGAGTCACAGACTCTGAAACAGGCTCCAGGCTCTGAGTTGGCAGTCAGCACAGAGCCCGACGCGGGGCACGAACCCACGAACCTCGAGATCATGACCTAAGACTAAAGAGCAAGGAGTCCAGGAAGCAGATTAGGTGGCATCCCTGGATGAAATCTTGACCATTCAAGCTGTGGCTGTGGATTAACCAAAGTTGGGGCTCCACCCACGGCTTTGATCAAGATTTCCAGAAAGTTGCCTCACCACGCCCCTATCCACGCCGAGTCCATTCCCCCTCCCAGTGCCATCTCTTTACCTTGTCCACATGTCATCGAAGCAGGTCTGACTCTGCCACTTAATTAACTGGCCCATGGCCTGTCCTTCCTACAAGACAGCAAGCTTGAGGGCAAGATTTTGGCTCTGTATCTCCAATGCATGGCAGAAGGCCCAAATGGATAATAGCCTCAAAAGTTACCCTCTACTGAGCACTTACAGATCCTGGTTTTATACACCTTTGGGTCTTTCCTATAACCCATAAAGGAGAATTCTAATCCTATTTTTAATAGGTGAGGCACCTGCAGACGCAGAGAAGTTCATTATTGTCCCTAAGATACACAAGTAGAAAGTGGTCAAACCTGGAATGGAGCTCAGCTCTGTCCAGAGCCTCTGACCTAACATGCCTTGGTGCCTGTAGTCAGAAGTTCAGTAAATTGAGTTTTCAGTGTTAAGAGCTTGTATCCAAATGCTGTGAACCAGGTCAGCATGCCCTCATTCATTCTCTGTGCCTGGTGGGACTGAAGGAGGCTTCCAGAAACCACAGGAAGGGCTTGGGAATGAGTA